AACCAGCCTATTTTTTATAATATTTATATCCCAGACAGAAATGAATTTTCAATCAGACAAAGTCGTGAGTTCGTGATAGGATAGAATTTTACATGCTATAAATCATTACAACTCCACTGAAATCTTCTGTGATACATCATTAATTTTTTTTCTAAGCATACGGCCCCCACCATCCTAATTTGTCTCCAGCATAAGCATAAGAGAACTTTGTTAATCCTCTGAAGAACAACAGACCACAAATGGGATGATGCACTAGGAGACTCCTGCAAAAGAACATTTATTCAACCAAATGCCAAAAATGTTCATCATACAAAGGAGCCAGAGAAACCTCCTTTTCTTGCCTAAAAATAAACTGAGATGTCTATCTCTTTTTACACATTTTTGTATATAGGTTATATTTAAAGGCACACACAAATACATATGTGCCTCTGAATCCAATGGATGTGCCAATCATTCTAATTGCACTCAAGCTGGGTTTCAAATGCTATAAATGATGTCATATTGTATTTTTTCCAGTGGTCACCTGCATCTCTGATCCTCTAGAAATTCTGAAGTGGCTTTCATGTCATATTTCTGTCCTCTTTGAGTTATATTGGTCATAAAGCATCTCTTTAAACCAAGGATGTGACACAGGACATGGCTACACCCTTGTAAAATCCACAGTGGCATGTCAATTACATTCACTGAACTCATATAGAGCTCTGATAAAATAAAAGATTTTGACATGCCTTTTGTACCAGGGATATGATGGCACTGCACTGAAATATTCTATTTTCTGCAGCCAGATGTGTCAATCCATTTGTGTTTGGGGTAAGTCTATAAACCCCTGGTTTCAATCTGCTGCTCAGTGATATGCTGTTGGAATTACACTGAAGTGAAATTAGGATATTGATGCATATGTAATGAAAGGAAGGGATGCAGGGCATTGCTCATCCAAATATTCCCTCTGTCACTAATCTTCTCCAGAAAATAGTGCTGCTGCCACTCCTGGCTGTTCTCTTGGCTGAAACAGCACAAGGAGCTTTAAAGCCATTTCTGCTGATAAATCTCCCTCTCTCTCCTCCAGCAACCTCCCTCTTCCTCTTCCAGTCCAAGATATGCTCCTTCCCTTGCCATCACTATCTACCAACACTGGCAGAGGGAATTTCTTTATCTCAGGGTGTGTTCTGCATTTCTGATTTGCTTTTCTCCTCTGTCCTCACTGCTGAAGCAGTTAGCATTTGCTGTGCTGCACACAGAGATCTGTTTCTTGTGGGAGGTATTTTTATCCTGCCACCTCAGTGCAGGAGAGATTCACTCAGATTTATCCCAGATACCCCTAAAATGTCAGCAATGGCAAAGGTGACAGAAAACAGCAGCATGTCCACCGGCAACAGAAACAGCAGCTTGCGGGGCACAAAAAAGAGAAGGAAAAGAGTAGGAAAAGTGGAGGAAAAGTGTGTCTACCTCGTGAGCTTCTGCCTTCCTGAAGGCCATGCTGAGTTCAGTGGTCCTGGGGTGGTGGCTTGAGTTTTGTGGGTCCTCCCAGTTAACATCCATGTACACAGAAGCATCTTGACTTTTGGGATGACATGATCCCCTAGCCATTGGATACCTGTCCAAGGATTTGAATCCTCAGCCAGCATCAAGAGCTGCATAAGACAAAGGTATTAAGGACAAGTTTTAACAGGTAAAATAACCCCATCCCACCCCAGCCCCAAACTATCAGTAAAGGCTTCCTTTCTTAAGGCAAAGTGATGTCTTAGCATGCTCTTGTTGCAGTCTACCCTTGCTCAATTCTTGTCATCAGTTTCATGGTCTTCCCCACAGATTTTTTCTGCTCCTCTATCCCACTACCCCCCTCCGCCTCCTCTGAGGCCCAACACCACATCAGATGCCCTCACGTGGTGCTCATGTGATCATCACATGTCCATGTGTTCTTCATCTTCATGCTGACCACCCGAGCCTTTAGGCCTGCACAAGGGCACTGCACAAGGCCACCTGCTTTACTGAGAGAAAGGGAAGAATTTGGGCGGAGTGCCCACCCAACAACCTCCCAAAACTTAGAGGGAAGCTGGGGCTTGAGATGCGTGTCTGTGTGGTGGGACTCCTGTGCACCCCTTTTGCATGAGAACACTGCTGCTTGTGCTTCCAGGCTGGCTCTAGCTCATGTTTGGATTTCTTTCCTGGTGCTGGGTTGTTTTTTGGGGTTTTTTTTGCATGGTTTCTTTGTGCTTTTTGTTTTCCTCTGGGTGGTAGGAGAGGGGAGAAGATTGAAAATGTAATATTCCTTCAGATGGATGAAGTGGAGACATACCACCCTGGGTCTTCCAAAATATCCGGTCCAGCTGGTGATGACTTTAAGCTGTGCTGGCTTTTTACCAGCAAGGTGCCTTAGGTTTGATCCAGCTTTCAGCAGCTCTCTTTGTTCATGTCCCCAAGTCCTGGTTCTGAGGGTCGTTTTTGGGTTTCCATACATGCTGACTCACTGTGAAAGTCAAAGAGGAAAACTTCCATGGGAGGTGAGCTCCCCTCCTTTTTGGCACACGGGTCAGCCAAGGACAATGTGTGTGTCACAGCAACACCATGGGAAGCTCACAGGGCACATGGGCTCCATGTGTTTGTGCAGTGTAGTCACCTTTAAAAAGAAACAGTTTCTGGGGATTTGTTTTTACTCCTTCTGCTTCAGGAGCCATTTAAATACTCTGCATGACCCGGCAGAGAGTGCTCATTTGTCCTTTTCTCGCCCCTGCTGCTTTGAAGCAGTATTTTTAGCTGCTGCAGATAGATGTGCACCTGGGAACAATGAGCATTCTGTGAACTGCTCCTGCTCTCACAGCACCACTGTGGGAAACCTGACCCCAAACAGATGCTTACAGGAATATACTGAGTGCTGCAGCAGCCTGAGTGGGGCCAGGAAAGCGACAAACCTCTGCCAGGGCCCTGACTGCTGCCATGCAGTGGTTGCTGTAGGGCACATGATGGGGTTGAGGCTGTAAATCCTTTACCCTGAGGCTGAAGGAGCAGCTCTGAAGGTTGCCAGGCTAGCAGCTAGTTCCCCTCTGTTTTGGGAGGGGACTTTTAGAGGGGGACTGAAGGGGAAACTTTTGGAAAGGGCATGTCATGGTAGGATAAGGCAGAAATTATTTTAAGCTGAAGGAGGGCAGAGATTCTTTACTATCAGGGTGGTGAGGCCCTGGCACAGGTTGCCCAGAGAAGCTGTGGCTGCCCCATCCCTGAAGTGTTCAAGCTCAGGTTGGATGGGGCTTGGAGCCACCTGGGATAGGGGAAGGTCCCTGCCCATGGCAGGCAGTTGGAACTGGGTGGTCTTCAGGGTCCCTTCCAACCCAAACCATTCTATGATTCTATGATTTTCCTTTCAGATTTTTTTCCCTTTGAGGTCATGCTACAGTTTGCTTTGTGCCCAGCTCCTCTTCTCAATTAGTCTAGTTGTATCTTTAGAGTGAAGAAACTTTGCAAATCCTTCCTTTTTGCTGGTGCCAGCTGCCTGCACATACCCAGCCCTGAGAATGGGAATAACACAATTCATCCCCTCCCTTCAGCAGTAGAGGCTGCAAGTCTTTCTGGTCAATGAAGGTCAAATCTTTCAGGACACTAAGACTGCCTGTTCACAGGGATAACTTGTGGTTGTGGAGTTTGTGCTTTTCAGACAGATGGACATCACAGCAGATGCTTATCTACTGCGAGCAGAGCTCTCATGGTCCCTCTTCTTGGGAAAATGGAGATTTAAAATGTGGCTGCCGTATGGTCTGGTCAAGTCCCTGCAAAGATAACAGAAATACAGAGCCCTCTAAAAATATCTTTTTGACTGTAGTGTGGATATGGGCTATGTGTGAAGCCAGCGTGGATTTCGAAAGGTCTAACAGGTGCTAATTATTCAAAGATAACTTACTTCTGTTTGTAAACCAGATGGCTTGACAAAAATGAGGACGATGGTCAGATTGTCCGAGAATTAGTGCCTGCTGGGGAGTCACCACTGCTAAAAAGTGAGTTTAGCTTGGAAAAAAGGTCTGGGTTTGAGTTGTACATGGATGTGTTTATTTGCTTTATTCTTCTTAAAAATTCTTGTCAGTTCCCAGTAAATCTACTGGGCCTTTTTTGCCATTCTTATGCAAGAAGCTGCAGTAGGTCATGCTGAGAGAAATGCCTCTGACTCTTAAATTCTAGTTTATGAATGGGAAAAGAACATAATTGCCACATTATATAGGTAGAAAGAAAAGGTTTTTAAAGTTGTGATTTGTTTAAGAACTGCTTTCTTGTATATCTTTCTTTGAAGGATCTTGAATTGCCACTGTTTTAGTAGAGTTAATGCCATCAAATAATGGCATTCTCTGAAGAAAATCACCAAAAATATTATATTGCCCTTTTCTGGAGAACCAGGGCTCCAATCCTACAATTTTCCTTAGAAAATGGTGCTTGCACAGTGCAGGTTGTTGTGTTTAAAAAAAAATAAATAAAAAGAAGGTCAAAGTTATTGAATTAAATTGTTAAGTATAAAAATGGTGAAATAATCCCATTTGCCTAAGTGCATTTCTATGCCTTGGGTAATCATCAAACAGTGGGAGGGAGGCATACAGAATGTTTTATGCTTACCAGTGTACCTACTGGATCTCTTTTTTTTTTTTGGTGAGTAACTCCAAGGTGTGACAGCTTCTCCAGCGTGGCCCTAAGATTCTGGATGCATGAATGGAGGGCAAGGTCGTTTCTGTGTCTGTATCTGGAGCCTTCCTCCCCTGTCAGCTGTTAGAAGCCAATTGCCTGGCTGGGCACTGGCAGTGCCACTCACCTGTCTGTGTTTTGTGCATCAATCTTTCTCTCCAGATGTCAGTTATCACATCAGTGTGAAGACAGGAGATATCCCTGGTGCCAGCTCAGATTCCAGGGTTTTCATCAAACTCTACGGTGAAAAAGCAGACTCCAGCAAAGAGTTTCTCTTAGTCTCTGATAATGATCTAGGCAATTATTTTGAACGTGGTCGAGTGGATGAGTTTACTCTAGATATGATGGATATTGGAAAGGTAAGAATCAATTGCAGGTGGCTCTATACTTTGTGCAAGTGCCTGAATTCAGGAGCAAAATAATACTCCATATTGAAGGTGATGAAAGAGCCTTTGACATTCACACTGGGAATTAAGAGACACATTTTACATAGATTTTACACCAGTGTATTGTGTATGCTGGCATGCAAGGAGTGTTTTAAGTCTGCAGTGAAATATATATATAAACTATTTACACAAACACGGTGGAAGAGCACCGTGCCAGGGTAAGGAGACTGTTTAACATTAAGCAAATTCCGTTGTGTTGGGTTTTTCCCTGCCCTCTGGGTTTTTGTTTGCTTTTTCCCAAGATCAACCGAATTCTGATTGGGCACGATAACGTGGGTCTGCGGTCCGGCTGGTTCCTGGCCAGTGTCCAGATCACAGTTCCAGTCCAGGGAAGGCAGTACATGTTCCCCTGCAACCGGTGGCTTGACAAGGATGAGGCCGATGGCAGGGTGGAGGTGGAGGTCTACCCAAGTGAGATTTTGCCTATTGAGAAATGTAAGAGAACACGTGCTGCTTTGAAGCTAGGGCTAAATGTGCATTGCTCCCATCCTTCAGGGCAAGGTCACCACTGTCTTAGACATTAAAACCAAAAAATCACCATTCCTGTGGGCTTATATTTGTGAGAAAAGTAAAATATTCTCCTCATGTTTTCTGAAAGAGTTGGAAAAACATTACAGAGATTTTCATCTCCATTTCCTGAGACCATATGAAAAATTTACACCCTGGGCAGCACAACACAGCACAAGACAATGTGCTTCTTCACTGCAATATCAGTGGGTTCTTCTTTTTTCTACATTTATCTGCCCCAGTCCTTTTTTCTCTTTATGCACCAGCACATATCCCACCCTGTCTTTATTACCCTGTTTCCTGGAAAGGAGAAGCTGTTTGATAACTAAGTGCCAAATCCCTACTGGCCACTTGACTTTATCAGTAGACCCATTTTCTTTTAAGACCACAGTTAAAATTTGCTGTTGGGTCCTAAGAAAGAATGCTGTGGTTTTCCCCTGCTCTCTGTAACTCCCTCCCTTGCACTGTATTAAGGAGACCATTCAACCACTCTATAGTTAGTCCTGAAACAAAATTCCCTTTTAAGGCCCTGTTTTGCACCCCCCTGACACTGGCTAACACTTGTAAAAGGAAAACTATTAGGTTAGTCCTCAGTGAAGAGTTCTGTTATCTCACATTTAGTTTGGATAAGAGCAAATGGTCGGCTACGTGGACATTTGTTAAGACAAGGTAATTTAATTTCGAACCTGAGCCCCCAGGAATGTTGTTATCTGAGTTTCTCTGCTGATTTAATTGCTTTATTTTTGGACCAGTGATAAACTATGAGGTGTCTGTAGTCACTGGAGACGTGCGAGCCGCAGGCACCAATGCCAAAGTCTTCATGCAGATTTATGGTGAGACTGGCAAAACGGAATTGATCATCTTGGAAAACAGATCCAACAACTTTGAAAGGGGAGCCACAGATATCTTCAAGGTATGATGGAGGCTGTCACTGCCACTTCTAAAAGGGGAAAGAAATTATCAGCCAAAGTTGAGACATCAATAGAGTAACTGCCCAAATATAAAAAAAAAAAAAAAAGACTTTTCAAGAAAATTGCAGGTCTGGCAGTATCTACTGTCCTCTATCCATAATTTTGGAAGGCTTTTTTGGAAGGCATTTCTTTATGGGGTTTTGTGTTTTGTCAAGGGACTTACATCTTCTGAGGGGCTGCTAGCAAAGGTCATTGAAATTTATGATCTAATAGCACCATTTGTTTATATTTACTTTCAAAAGGATCTCAAAAGACTTCAAACTTTGAGCCTGGCCACGTGCTATTGCCAATTCTCATTGTGTAGCTGGGGAAAAAAGAAAACACTCTTTGTATGAGAATAGAAGGAATCCCAGGCTTGCCTGTGGTCACACACACCATTAACTATGGGTACAGATGTCAGCCCTGCAGAGGTTTGCAGCTGTAATTCCTGAGAATGTGTGAATGCCTAATGGATTTTACAGTGCCTGTAACACTGTACAGGCAGGCAGGCACTGCACAGCCCCGACATTCAATGTACACAGCTCAGTCCTCCAGGTATCAGGATGGTCAGAATTCAGAGCTTTTTAAAAATTCAGGTTTATACTGCAGAGCCCACACCTCTTTCCGAGCAGCCCAGCAGCAAAGGGAGTGTTTAGAGGGGTGAGGGACCTCCAACAAAACTCTAGGGAGTGAGCCAGGTGTTGGATAATCCAGCAAGATAATCCTGGGTTGATGAGGCTGCCCAGCAAGTGTGGATCACAACATGGTCAGGACCCTCTCCTTTGGGACCAATGTTCTCTTCTGCCTTGTTAGCTTGGGGTTTCTGCCCAGAGGAACCACGGTTTGCAGGACAGGAATGGTCCTAGCACCTGCCCTGATGTGGGATCAGAGCAAAGACAGGGTGTTCTGTCAGAGCCACATCCTTCTGTGGGGAAGGAGAGACCAACATCTGGACAGTGAAGCAGAGAGTGCAGGTGGGAGCAGGATTTAAGGCACATCTGCCACATGTGCTCACAGCACAAGACTTGGCACAGCAGTGCCTAGGTATTGCTGAGAATTTGCAGCCCCACAGAGGCTGTATCCATCTCAGCACAGTTAAGCTTGCAGCTAATTGCTGAAGCTCCCCTGAATCATCAAGACTGGGATATGCTTCCTGCTGTCAGTGGCCAAATGGAGGTGCCTTTATCCACAGCTTCACCAGTTTTGTACTGTGTATTTTTGAGATCTGTTCACCTCCTCCTGCCTCATTTTCTTGCTTTACCGAATGGAGTTACTGATGTTTATCTATTTTTAATGAGTTTTTGGGGATTTGAAATGACTAGTACCTTATAAATGTTTGCTTTTTAAAAATTCTCTATAGTTTTAAGATTAGGTTTCTCTGATTTTAAAGGAAATAAGCTTTCTAAAATTTATGAGTAAGAGCTATTAGCCAATATAAGATTTATAATAAAGCCATATGTACAGTGTTCTGTTTACATAGCTTTGCTTATATCCTCTCTCTGATATTTATTGCCAGATTTGAAAATTATGCCCATTTCTGTGATTTTTTTATAAGCACACAAGGCAGAAGCTCCAGAGCATTAATAACTAGATCGTCTATCTCTTTCACTATATGAATGTTTACAAAAAGACACAGGCAAAAATAAGATTCTGTGAGCTACGTGATAATAGGAAATGCCATCAGTCATGGGCAAGGCATGCAGGATGATTACAGTAAATCTAAGAGTAAATCCGTGTAAGGAAAGATACATTCTTTATGTCAGGACAGCGGGATCAATTTCAGTTTTCTGATAAGCATCTTGTGTGCAATTGATTTTGTTTTAATCTACAAAACGTTTCTAGACTAAAACCTTACATGCCAAGTGCCAGATTTCAGCCTGAAGCAAATGTTTGCAAGTTTTATAACATAAACACTGCATAACAGCATAAGCCATCATCAGAAACAAGTCATGGGTTGTTGAAGGATTGTGTGGAGTAAAATCTTCTATCCAACTTCATTAGGTAGTAATCCAGACAGATAATCTAAACCAAGAAGGTTTTGTGTCTGCTGTGCTGACTAGAGGGATGTAAATCTTCTTACTGATCAGCCTTCTGCCACTGAAGCACTGTAACCACCAGTGATTGTATCCTCTCTGCTCACCAGAAAAGTGAGAAAATACTTCTCTAATTTTGCAGATGAGAAGGAGGGAGAAGGGCACTCCAAACCCACAGTCTGTGTCAGAGATTGTGTTATGAGTTAACTGCCTTTTCACTACACCATTATTGCTTCTTGCTGGGTTCATATCCTGTGCTGAGTATGAAAGGCACCTTATTATTAATTTTCAAAATGCCTCATGTGCTGAGAATCTGTAAAAACCTGGTGCGGTATTATCATATATTCATCTTTAGCAACAACACAGAGACAATGCAGGTGAGGAGAGCAATGAGGAAGTAGGGAGCCCAATAAATATGGATTTAGCTCCTCTCCTCACCATGGCTGCTCTGAATGTCTTCAGCTTAATCCATTCAGATGAGATTTGGTGATGGGAAGTATGAAATAGTAAAGCAGGAAGGAAAATGTAAACTTGCATTAGGATATTGTTCTTACCTTGCTTACATATTTTGTGTGACGGAGGCCGTGCTTCTCCTTTTTAAGAATGCGCTTTATGAAATTAAGACTGTCTTCTATCCCTCTGGGTGCTGACTTTCCCTGGGTGGCAGAGAGAGGCTGCAGATGTTGGCAAGATTTACAAGATCCGGATAGGCCACGACGGGACAGGCATTGGGGATGGCTGGTTCCTGGAGAGCGTCACGCTGAAGCGCCTGGCCACCAAAACAAAGGGGTCGGATGAAAGCACGAAGAAGAAGAAGAAGTCTGATGAGAAGGAAGAGGAGGAGAACAAGGAGGAAGAAGGAATGGATGTCTATACGTTTGTGGCACACCGCTGGCTGGCTAAGGATGAAGGGGACAAGGAGCTCGTGGTGGAGCTGGTGCCTGATGGAGAATCTGACCTGGAGGGTAAATACCACAGGGAATGTGTGTGTGTGTGTGTGTGTGTGGGTGTGAGTGTGGGTGTGGATGTGTGTACCCAGCCTCTGCACGAAGGGTGATAACCACACTTGGCAGGACCATTTATCCTCCAAAACCACCCCGTTGCCCCAGGCATGCACTGGATCTGTGGTGGGTCAAGCTAGGGAGGAAGAGGATGGTGGGTAAACTAAGGGAGAGCATGGAGGAGACAGCCTGAAATTGGGATATCCTAAAGGACTTCCATAGGATTCATCAAAGGTCATCTGGGGCACTTGGATCAAGAGTCCCAGAGGGTCCCACTGCAGCTGAGAGTTTAGCAAGAGGTAACTGTTGTTATGGCCAAAGAGAGGGGCTGGAGGAAGGCAGAGCTGCTCATGTTTTAATATAGATGCCAACAAACTCCATGTAAACTCTTTCTGTGCTGGCATTTCAGGGGTTACACACTTCTGTGGTGAGCCACAGATTTGATGAAATATGGCCACTTCAGGGGTCCTTCTGACCTGCCTTTGATATTTTACTTGCAGAAAATACGTATGAAGTCCACGTCCTCACTGGGACTGTGTGGGGGGCTGGAACAGATGCTAATGTCTTCCTGAGCATCTATGGCATGGAAAGAGGAGACACGGGTGAGCGCCAGCTGAAAAGGTCAAATAACCTCAACAAGTTTGAGAAAGGACAGGTAATGCATGAACTCCACTCACTCAAGCGAGAATGAGCCTGGCAGGGCTCTCTCGGCTGATGTGCTGGCCGCTCAATACACTTTCTTCTCACTTCTTTCAAAAATTTTTTATTTCTGAAATATATTATATAAAGCAAAATGCCTCAAAACGTTTTCATGGGAGATTCATTTGAATAATAAGCTGAACACCAATTCCATATTGGAGCCACTTTCTGCATCTGCTTCCTGTAAGCATTCTGGTAATAATGCTTCCTCAGGAATACTTAACACTTACAAACTTTAAATTAATGTTGGAGAGTATTTTTGGGGAAGTTCAAACATGTAGATATTTAGATGCAAAAGCTATTCTAAATGTTCTACCCAACCAGCCAGGGAATAAAAGCAATATTACACAGTATGCTGTAATTACATTATAATCCAATCCAATTAAAGATCGTCTCTTGTATGTTGAGTATTTGTTATAAAAAGTTTATAAACAATTAACAAAAATCTACTGTTATAGCCAGGAGGTTTTTAAGGAATAATTCTGAAGAACAAAAAATTACAGAAACAAAAAGCAGCTGTGGAAAACTTGCAACCGCAAAAAAAAAAAAAAGAGCCCTAAGGTTGTTAAATAAGATGTTAGCTGTGATTTATGAGCTTGGCACTGGTGAAACTGCAACCTGCACATGGTTCTTCATTCAGTGGGAAGAGCTCCAACCTGCAAATGTAATGCTCTTTACTCTGGGGAGTACAAACACGAAGTCTACCAACATATTAATCACATTAAGATGTTTAAACTGTTATGATAACAAGGGCCATCCTGTCACACTAACACAGTTAATAAATGATCCTCTTGGTTGTGGTAAATGACAAAATGAAGAAATTCTGAAATATTTGAAATAAAGCATATGGGCTGTATTTTGGGGCTGTCCCATGCAGAGCCAGGAGTTGGACTCAGTGATCCTTGTGGATCCCTTCCAACTGTGAATATTGGAGGACTCTACACAGAGGTAAGCAGGAGAATTTCCACGGAGTCAACATGATTTTTGTCCGGTTCCAGATTCAATCTGTGGGAAAATACTAAGCCTGAAAGGAACGATATTTAGCAGAGAGGAGTTAAACTTACAGGAAGCTGGAACTAGGATGAGGCAAAGAGAGGAGTGAAGGGGGGAGCAGCTCCAGGGCTGTTACTGCCTTGTAGGAGCCAAACATCAGTGTTAGTGGGAGACCTCAGTGCTCTGTAGTTATTTTTGTACACCCACACAAAGAGTACAAAAAGAACTTACAAATAGCTATGTTTTAATGGCAAAAAAGATGATTACCCTTGGCTATTTCTTTCCTTCTTTCTTGGAAACACAGCCATTTGCCTCTTGCCTCCTGTGCAGGTAGATGTGTTCACCATCAAAGCCATTGACCTGGGCGAACTGAAGAAGCTGCGGATCCGCCACGATAACTCTGGTTCCAGGCCCAGCTGGTTCCTGGAGAGGGTGGAGATTATTGACCTCAAAGAGAGCACCACGTGAGGAGCCTGTTGTGCCCTTTTCATGGGGTCAGGAAAGGGGCTGTGTTCACAGGGGCCTGCAGAGCCGTGGGGAGGCAGAGGAGATGCAGGAGGGCATTGTTGGAGCTCCTCAGAGAATGGCCATCATTTGGGAGCCTTGTGGTCCCTGTGCCATGACACAGAGCGTGGGGCCATTCTGGGGTACCCATGGGGAGGTTTGCTGTCCCAGCACCTCTGTAATTTTGGAACCAGCAGTGTTTGGAAGGCAGCCCCAGCTTTTTTCTGTTTCTCCTCATGGGATGGGCTAATCTCTCCCTCCTGGAGCAGAGGCTGCACTCAAGCTTTTCCCTTCTAGGCCTCACTTTGGAAGTCTGAGTTTTATTTGCCCTTTCTACTTAATGCAAAGATCTGGGCCAAAAGCAAATTCTGATCTAAGCAAACTCTCATGATTTCCACAGACAGCTGGATGAGCAAAGAATGGGCTGTTCAAAACCTGAAATCTAGGCTTGCCTTCGAGCTGGAACTTGCTGGAAATCACACGCTTAATAGTTGCACAATGCTCTGATGGGTGGGACCACTCTTAAGGACAAGATGGGTTCAGTCTTCATAAACATAAAATGCCCAGGAGTCTGGAGGTCCTTCAAGTTACTGAACTCTTTCTGGGAGTGAAATTAAAATGAATCATCTATGTGGGGCTGGCAGCCCAGAAACAGCACTTAGCAGTATGTGCTCCCTAACCTATTTATGGATTTAGCTCCCACAAGACCAGATCTCAAGGATGAAAACAGATGTATTGCTCAGCCTTGAGTAATCTTGTTGGGTTTTTTTGTTTTTTCCTTCAAGTAGCCTCTGATCTGTGCTTGTTTATGTTATTAAAGCCTGTGAAGTCCTGTGTAAGCACCGCATGCTGCTGTCATTTTGTAGGTATTACTTTCCATGCCAGCGGTGGTTGGCAGTGGAGGAAGATGATGGTCAGATTGCCAGGGAGCTGGTCCCAGTGGATGAAGCATTTGTGAAGAAAGATTCAGAAAATGAGGGCCAGTCTCCTGCAACTTTGGGCCTGGAACAGAAAGGTGGAATGTTATATGTTGGCCTTGAATTTCTTCCAGTGTGGGGTTGGAAAGGAATCAGGTTGTTAGTGCTGCTGAGGGCATTAGCAGTGAGCAGTAGCAGTTACTCACTGTGCTGGGAGTAATTTTGCCCCAAAATGAAATTTTCAGGCATGAATGAAGTGTCAAGTGTGTGTCAGACTGTGAGGAGTGGACCCTCCTCATTTTTAGTTGATTTAATCATCTTGCAAGATTGGACCCTAAGTGACAAGGCTAAAAAGATGGGTAATAGGTTCAGTCCTTGTTTTTGAACTGAAATGCATATTGGTTGCTAGTATCTAATGAATAAATCTCATTAATTTCATATAATGGACTGTAATGGTTAAGTGTTCCAACATGAAACTGAGCAGAGAGGAAACACACCCAGAGAAAGAGAAGGGACCTGAATTTGTCTCACTTTCCATCTTGTTACTTGTGTCTGTTGTCCTCCAAAACAACTTTGCCTCATTTGTATATAAATTTGCATGGTAACCACCGAGCAGTGACACACTCCTGGGTCACTGGGACACACTCAGCAAGGTGCTGAGTGCCCAACATTTTAACTTATTTCTTTTGGAAAGATATGTCCAACTAGGGAGGAAGTATTCAATTTTGGAAATCCTGAGGTTACATCACCTGAGTGAAGATTATATTAGACTTTTCCATGAGATTTTTTATGAGTTTACTGCACTTTCTAGATGATGGTGTAGTAGAAACATCCCTACTGATGCTGTTCTGAAAGGTGTGTTTGTGAATATGAACTGTATATGTCAGTGCACACACTTTCTGGTATGTGTTATATGCACATGTATTATCTGGTGCCAATGAAATAAAGGGGGGGTAGGTGGATTTTTTTAAAGAAATATTGCAATCAGAGGCAGTTTTGAGGAGGGTTAGAGGTTCCCAGGAAGCAAATGGGAAGGCTTGAGCACATTTCTTATCTGTAGATATGCAGGCAATGTGCTGAGTGACTGGAGCAGTAGAAGATTCTGGAACCAGACAACCCAGCTCAAGGGCTACCAGAGCATAGGACAGGAATTAGAGATTAGAGCATGGCTGTGATCAGTCAAAACAAAACTCAAACCAAGCACACATTTAAGCAAGGAAGAGTAGAGTTAACTCCTGGTCGGACATTACACTCTTAAATTAAGATGTTTTATCTGGCAGCTAAATCCACGACATACTCAGTGAAAGTGAAAACGGGGGACAAGAAAAATGCCGGGACAGATGCCAACGTTTTCATCATACTCTATGGAAGTAAAGACGATACAGGTATGGCTTCAAATGATGGAAAAGGAAAGCAGCTCCATGTCTGACACCTGAAAAGACAGGTCATGGTTTCTTTTCATTTCCCCAATACCCCTTTCTCACTCCTTTTAGTGCGACTTTGTGTTCTCGCAGTCGGTGCACACGTCGTGGTAACTTGGAGCACAGCACCAGCTGCTGTAAATCACTGCCAAGCTTTGCGATGCTGATTTGCACCAGCTGCTGGTCTAAAGGTTTTAATTTCAATTATAGAAACAGCACAGTTGACTGGGACTACATTATTGAGCAGTGAATGCACTGGATGATTTGCTTTCCTCAGCAATGAATCAGCATGCTCCTGAAACCCAACCCTCCTCTGCCTCTTTGAGTGGCCCAGAAGTATTTAATCAGCTGATGAGTTAATCCTCTTGGAAGCAGCTGAGCTGTGTGTGCAGTGGCTTGGATGCCTGTGAGAGTGACAGGGAGCTGATGGGTAGCACTGATTTCTTTAGCTGTGAGCACAGCACGACAACATCATCCCTGTTGCACTGCCAGAGGATCATTCAAGGGAGGAATTCTGTATATTTTGGGTGTTGATACAGACTTGGGCTCAGAGGGAGGGACAAAGCTCAGATCTTGAGATGAAAAGCCAATTTTTGCATTTTAGCCCCTTCTCTCGTCCCACTGTTGACATTCCCAGAGGATTTGTTTCACATGCTGAACAATGTCCTTTTGCATCGCCACAACAGGGATAGTCAGCCTAAAGGCCTCAAAGTTTAACAAGAACAAATTTGAGCGTGGGAAGGTAGATGAGTTTACAGTGGAGTCTGTGGACATTGGAGACCTGAAAAAAATCAAGATAGGCCATGACAATAAAGGTAAGATAATCTGCTCTGTAATGCAGTGTTTCTAGTGCACAGGGTGTGTTGCTGTATAAAATAACCTGCCTTCAAGACCCCAAACGTAATTTACCTTTTGGTGACAGATCCTTGCTGTCACTTTGGCTGCTGCTGCTACTATCTTTGCTGCTGATTCCATTCCCATGTGACATTAGGAGCTCAGTGGTGCCAACTTGCAGATAGCTTTGCATCCTCTCCCTCTGCAAGAGTCTTTATATTTCTACAGCCACATCTTTAGAGAGATTTCACAGGTACCACCGTACCCTTTTTTTTTTTTTTTTTTTTTTTTTTTATTGCATGGGACCCCTAGGCTTGTTTCACTTCTTTATTAAGTTTTTGGTAGTATTTTGATCATTAAGTCTTGGCTGCTTTTTAGACAGAATTCTGTGTATCTGCTACAAACAAGGGAGGCAGTGGAGCTATGCATGGATCTCTTCCCCTATGGGTCATTAAATGACAGGTTTATTGATAGCTGCTCTTTATTATTACAGAGGCCAATTGATAAAAGTGATGCAGTAATTAGCATTTCCACGTGCACATCTTTACACTGACACTTATAGAAATGTGAATCATTTTACCTCAATCCTGGGCAATTGCATCCAATGATCTTTACTCCATATATTCTACATTCCCTTTGGCAAAAGACAGAAAGATTTATTTCTCTGAGGTCTGGCGTGCAGTGATTCATTTGCTGTTGTCTGCAAAGGCTTCGTGGGTTATTCACTGTTATCTTTGCACCACAGGTAATTCAACTGGCTGGTTTCTGGAATGGGTGGAGATTGATGCCCCATCCCTGGGACAGTGCCTCAAGTTTCCCTGTGGCCGCTGGCTGGATAAATCCGAGGATGATGGAGCCATTGAGAGAATTATCTTCCCTGCAGAACTGCAGACAATAGAGTACATCCCATGTGAGCAGAATGCCATTTCCCCAGGATACACTCGTCATTACAGAAGATAAAAATCTCACTATCTCATGCAGTTTTATAGGTTTCACCTCTCCCTTGAACTGGCTTTGGGAAATTTAAAAGTAGATCTCATGCCAGCTATTCAAATTACTACAAGAAGGTTCCACTGGGTGCTCTAGATTAACATTTACTGCGTTTGCCAAATCAGAGAATCATTAGAAGTCATGTGGATGTGGATGATTGTCTTTTTCTTCCTATTTCCCCATCCCCTCCAAGTCCTCTGCTCATTCCAAGCTGTCTTTCTTGTCTCCAGTTTCCCTTTGATCTTGCTCCATTCTAATATTGCCATTTCTGGTGCCAAAGCAGACACTCTGGTCTTGCTTCCAACTCTTAGTTCTTCCAGTGCCTTCGGCATTGCACACTCATCTCTTGCTGAAAGACCCTCTTCCAGAGTTTCTTTAGTGTGGTGCTTTTCTAGAAGTGTTGCACCAGTCTGCCTTTTTTAGTGTTCTCCAATTTTTCCTTACTCTTCACTCCCCTCCAAATTAATGTTTTGGGTAAACATTTCCCCTACTCAGCTCCTTCTGAGTATGAGCTCAAGTCTGCTATGGCAACTCAAACTCTTTAGTTCTTGAAACTTCTTTTCCTGCTTGCAGAATACTGAGCATCAGACACCATGGTTTTCTTGAAATAAATGAAATATTTTCCTTACTTTTTAGCCCTCTCCCTTCTCATTGCTCCCCTTTCTTAAGCATCTTTGACAGTGTGCAGAGTTCAGCCCTGGGACTGTATTTGACTTGTCCCTCTCTGATCTGCTTCATTTCAAGTGGGTGATGAATTTTGCTCTCCGTCAGGGTACTGTCAGAACTGCCTTTTCCTTACATTGGGTTGGATGCCACAATGATGAGGGCTGAGGTCTGACACCTGGGAGTTGATTTCCTGACAGGTTCTTCCCTGGTCATTCATAAGAAGAGCTAAAATATTTTACACCAAGGCTGTTTCTCCACTAATCCCCAGTGCATGCACTGAAGGTATCAAAAGCCTTATTGCCTGCAGTTCTTTATTTAGATATCAAAATTTAGAGCTGCCCAAACTCCTTTTCTCTGCCTCAGTTTCCTTTTTCACAAGTAGTTGTAGGAATAACCACAAGGAAGGCCATCAGCTGTTTTGCCTCCTTCTTTTTTATTATGAAGACAGAGGTTTTAATGTTGAAGGTCCCTCCCATGTTCAGATCCCTGTACCCTGCAGCCTGTAAGCTGAAATAATTTCTTCTCTCAGGATCTGCCATTGTCATGTCTTTGTGCTTCACCTATTCTTTGATCAAGGTATTTTTATTTCTCATGTCTAACCTTCTTCATCCAAACTCTCTGGAGCAGAAGAAAGGATTCCCTTTGCTCCCATCTGCACTTTTGTCAGTCCAATGGAAGAAAAAGTAAATTCACAGAATTGAAAGGGATCTTAAAGCTCATCCAGTGCCACCCCCTGCCCTGGGCAGGGACACCTCCCACTGTCCCAGGCTGCTCCAAGCCCCATCCAGCCTGGCCTTGGACACTGCCAGGGATCCAGGGGCAGCCACAGCTGCTCTGGGCACCCTGGGCCAGGGCCTGCCCACCCTCCCAGCCAGCAATTCCTAATTGCCAAGAGCCCAAAATCTGTGCCTGCCCTCTGGCCCTGGGAGCCATTGCCTGGCTGCTGTCCCTGCAGGCCTTGTCCCCAGTCCCTGGGCAGCTCTGCTGGAGCCCCTGGAGGCCCTGGCAGGGGCTCTGAGGTGTCCCTGGAGCCTTCTCTTGTGCAGCTCAACAGCCCCAGCTGTGCCAGGCTGGCTCCAGAGCTCAAGCTCTTGGAGCATCTCCATGGTCTCCTCTGGACTCCCTCCAGCAGCTCCATGTCCTCTTTAAGCTGGGCAGCCCAGAGCTGGATGCACTATTCCATGTCTTTGTGTCTGAAAAAATAAATTGATTAATAGATGCAGTGATACCTTTTATAGGAGTGACTATAACCCAAAGACTCAATACATGCTTCTCTTCTGTTTTTTTCCACGTTATCCCAATCAATATATATTTTGATGCAGATGTTGACTATATAATTTATTAATACTGAATACTTTAATGATGTAGGAGCTTCTGGCATGCTGTGCCTTTGAGCACATAGTTCGTGTTATCCTGATTTTTGTCAGCAGTCCACATCCAGCCTTTGGAAGCAGTCAGGCCTCTCTGGCAAATATTTTGCACCAGGCCTACTGTCAGCTTAGGCTTTTTCACCATTTGAACCATCCCCACTGTGCTGTTTACTACATTCTGGTTTCCTAGCAATTAACCTGTGGGTTTCAGTTTGCCAGAGGTAACTAAACTGGCTTGATTTGTTTTATGATGACTCGTGCCAGAATTGTTTCACGATGAAAACATGTCATCCACAGTCCAATTAAAATCATCCCTGTGGGGATACAGCTTTAAAAGTGCCATGTAAATGAATTGGGCATCTGACAGCTGAAAGTTGTGCTGTTGGTGACCTTGTTAGGGCGCTGCTTTGCTGATTCAGTTCTAAGCTGATGTTAATATTCAAGCAACAAGAGCAAGTGCTACAGCCTTCAGCAGAGAGGATAATTTTTAATTCATAATGCATAGTGTGTGATTTTTGGTATGCAGGATTTTTTTTCCCCTCTCTTCTTACATTCTGGAGAAACTATTCCAGTTTACTTGCAGCACAGCAGAGCAGATTTCACTGGGTTGGGCAGGAAGAATATTGAGTATCTCCAGGCTGACTCTCTGTAGAAGAACACTTCTTCATCTGTGGCTGCCTGAGAGCTGTATTTAGAGAGCCTGAGCTTTTAATGGATGATTAGTGTCTTACATGGATAATCAGAGTTACTCCAACAGTAATAGAGGTGGTGCTGAGACACTTCTCCCTACCCTAACAGAGATGCTGAGTCTGAAACACAGTGCAAGCTGCTGTAATGTAAAGATCAAAAACTACTGAAGATGTGGTAGAGTAGGAGGGTGAGAATAACAAGCACCTGACAAGGTTGTAGTGAGGGATGGGAAAGGATGAAGTTTTTAGGGATGAATGAGAGAGGGATGGCCAGGAGCATATTGTGGCCCTGGCAGAATCCTGGTGTTGAAGGCTGTGCTTATGGGTAGTGGGACTGAGGGAAAGCCTCTTCCTGAGGCAGGAGAGGTCCCTGCAGAGCTGTTCAGTGATGCTCAGGCCTTACCTGGAGTTTTGATTTCAGAAAGGATTTAAAGGAGTTTGGGACAGGACACAGTTTGGGACAGGATACATTTGGCACACCTGACATCACATGGGCTCATGGCAGTGGAGTGTCTGAATTGCCATCATGGTTATTTGGTCATGGATATGGGGAATGATCCAGCTAATCCCAGGGAAAGTGCCTTCATTTGTTGATTAAGTGTTTCTTCACTTTATTGACTTTGTTGCTGACATCTGGAGATGCACACACTTGTCTGATGAGCAGGCATCTAAACCTATGTTTCTTACTCTGTGAGCTGAACACCCTCTCACCTTGAAAACTGAGGGTATATTCAGCAAGCCCATAGCAGAGCCAGGAACAGAGCCCCTGTTCCCATATTCCTGGGTCAGCCTTATTCCTGAGCAAGTCTGAGTCATACTCCAGCAGGACTCAGGACTGGGAAGCTGTGAAGACAGAATAGAACAAAAGGAGGCAGCACATTCTGGGGTCATGGGACATTCTGGAGAAACCACAGGAAAAGAATAGGGGAGTATTTATGGTCTTGAACATTACTGTTCTGCATTCACCATGAGTTTGGGGTGCAATTTAACCTGTTTGCCTCAGTGTTTCAGGGGAGGTGGTACCAAGTGAAAAATGGAACAGAGGAATTATTAACTTCCTTGTGATGGATTTTTGTCTTGTGTTTAGTAATGGAAATATTAGGACTTTTTTATCAGTAAAACTATCTCGAATATTTTTCACTGCCTCCAGTTGTCTTAACTTCATCCATCTTCTTAAATGCTCAAAAATTTGCAAATTCATGTTTTGCTTAACTCTTGAGCTGTTGAAATAAATCTTGTTTTAGTAACTTTGGATGGCAAGTATACTGAGTGTCATATGATTAACCTAAAAACCCATTACATCAACTCATATCAAGGTCAATTTGCTTTATTAAGAAAAGGAGTTTCCATAAGAAAGGAAATTCCTTTGTATTCTCATAGGACTGACCAGCTTGATATTTTAACTGACCACAAGTGATTGCTACCTTCTTCTCTTTCACTGTTGAGATTCAGAACTCATTTTTTGTTTCACTAGTTTTTGGTTTTTTTCCTTAGGGGCATTGCTATGCTGGCTCCTAACTCCTTTTGGCTTGTTTCTGTTTTCTATCATTTCCTAAACCAGTTGTTCCTTACGAGATCACAGTGTACACCAGTGATATTTTTGGAGCTGGCACGGATGCAGATGTCTTCATTGTTCTTTATGGAAGTGATGGGGTTTGCACTCAGCAAAAATCCCTGTGCCTCAACAAGAGAGAGCAAAGGATGTATTTTGAAAGGAACTCAGTGAATCAGTTCATCGTGGAGGTAAGATTGAAGCATGGGGAGCATTGGGGAGCATGCAGTGGTCAGGAATAGACACCCTCAGTCCTCTCTATTCTTGTACCTGTGAAACCACCAAATTTATTTCATCAACAGAAAGTGCTTTAATAATACCTGAGATGAGTCTTGAAAAGGTAGAGGAGGTTGTTGCGGTGTGAAGCAATATCCTGTTTCACCTTTCCCAGTCCCTCAGGTGTGCCAACCTCTCCCTTCCCCTCCCTCCACCTTGCCCCCTTGCTAAGTGCTGTCCGTCAACCTTAACATTCCAGCAAGGGCCTCGTCTGGTTGGTGCAGTTCAAAAGATGCTCCTCAGCCCTGGGGTCATTGGCCAGTCTAGGTGTCATTGTCCCCTGAGACTGACCCCCTCCCACCTGGTTGGTGGCACACCTACCCTGTCCCCTCCCTCTTTCCCCGGGCTTAAAATGACGTGGGACCATGTGGTTGGGATTCTGTTGGAGCTGTTACAAGACTCAGAGATCTGTGACCCTGGAATAAAACTCTGGGTTATACCCTACGGCAGGATCCATCTCCTTTTCCTCTTCACCTCGCCTAAAGCCTTTCCACTAGAGGTAAACCTGAGTTCCTGCTTGCCTGGACTTGTTCCAGCCAAAGGTGTCTGTGAGGTGAAACACCACAGCTGCCGCCTTTGGTCAAGCAGCAAGGGCCGGACGAGCCCAGCCACATTCCATCCGGTAATATTGGGATCTTATTCCAATAGGAGGTCACAAAATGTAGCTGGCCCTTTACCGAAAGGGGAAGGCCATGTCAGCCCCTGCTCCTCCCTCCTCCTCACCTCCATTGGCATCAAGGATGAGTTTCCAGGCTGGGGAAGGGCCAGAGGTCATTTCCAACATGACAGTGAGAGTGGAAATCCTGACCAGGATGTGTCACCACTGTTCTGCTCCTCACTGGTCTCACCCAACTCGGTCTCTGCTGCTCTGCTCTGGGGTGGGGCAGCCTCACCTCAAATGCTGAGGCACTTTTGGGTGCCACAGCATAAAAAAAGACATTGAACTGTAAGAGAGCATCCAAAGAAAGCCACAAGGAGGTGATGGGCCTTGAGGGGAAGCTGAGTGAGAAGCAGCTGAGGGCACTGGGTCTGCTCAGCTGGAGAAGAGGAGACTGAGGGGAGACTGCACCATGATTCCAGTTTCCTCGTGAGGGGAAGAGGAGGGGCAGGCACTGATCCCTGCACTCTCATGGGCAGACAGGACTTGAGGAAACAGCATGAAGGGGGGGTTTATGTTGGATATCAGGGAAAGGCTCTTCCCCAGAGGGTGCTGGCACTGCCCAGGCTCCCCAGGGAATGGGCACGGCCCCGAGGCTGCCGGAGCTCCAGGAGCCTTTGGGCAGCACTGCCAGGGATGCTCAGGGTGGGATTGCTGGGGGTCTGTGCAGGGCAGGAGCTGGACTCTGATCATTATGGGTGCCTTCCACCTCAGAGAGTTCAGTGATTCTGTGATTCTCTTGCAGTCTGCAATACTTAAAAGCATAACGCTTTTTCTTCTGTGTCCTCATGCAGAGAAATCATTTCTTTCCTGTAGACAATGTGATTTTTGAATACCCAGGCTAACTTTTTGAAAGATCTTACCAAGTATTTCCTGAAGTGTTTGCACAACTGTATGCAAATAGTAAACCCATGCACATCAAAGAGTGAGCTCATTTACGTCCACAGTATTAAGCAATTCCTATTCACAGTATATTCCTATTGCTGAGAATTTGTAAGAGGCAAAAAATACAGGCAGACCTGCTCTGGCTTATCCTGTTGATGCTGCTCCGTGCCCTTCCCTTCCCTTCTTCCTTGCTACAGCACCAACACTGACTTCATAGAGGCTCTTACATCTTCTCTCTGTTTTGAGTCTAGCTTGTTTTTGTAATTGAAGGGAAATTTTAAACCAATTCTTAAAATACTTGCAGCCCACATTGTTGTTGTATGTCATGAATCATAAAATAAATCCCCAGTGTGATTCCTTTAAAACAAAGAATAAGACTTATTTCAGTGGAGTTTCCACACAATTTTTCATAGTAGAGGTTGTGTTAATCCACAGGTATAAATCTTAAACCGAGTGCTCTGCTAAGGTCTTTATTACATAAGATTTATTTCAATTTTGGTGGAATCTGAAACATCAGTACTTTTCTTAGATTAAGTGAGAGAAAATGCAGTGTGTTCTACCAATTTATAACATCATATTAACCTGTCCCCAAACTTCATTCTCACTTCACCAGCTCCTCTTTCTGCAGGAGATGGGAACAAAGCAAAATATATTTTTCTTTCACCTGCTTGTGTAGGGCCATAATTTGGAGTTCAACAGACCTTGAAAACAATTTGGGGGGTTTCAGAAAACACAAACTGGGAATTGTCTGTTTGCTTTGTGGCTTTACCTCCCTCTATCATTTTGTATTTTGCAAAAGAGGGACGAAAGATTAGGGACTGCTCTTAGCTATGCTTCCAAGTGATGATTTGCTGGAGATGCCTAGAGCAGGGCAAAGCCCACTTCTTCTTTAACATGGATCTTGACTGCTCAAGCATCATTTTATTGCTATGTATTGATTAAAAGTCTCAGTGAAAGATGAGTATTTGGACAGGACAAAAGAGGAAAAATAATTTTCCCCTAATGCATACTTGTGTGCATGTGTGTGAGTTTTAGAAATGAGTTTGGATCGTTTAATTATTTTGTGGTGAATCTTATGCTGTCTGAAGTCAGAGCAGGGCTGCTGGAGTCAAACCCAGTTTGTTCAGAGTGTGGATTCCTTGGGAAGTGCAGACCTACTGACCTATGGAGCCTCCTAAAACTGCTGCTGCCTTTGCTTCGGTATGGCTGGGGAGAGAAGGGAGCAGTCTCCAGTGAAGCAAATGGATATGCTCCATTTTCTATCCAAGAAAATCAGGCTCTGAGGCCCCAAGGACAGAAGGACAGCTCAGTGTTCTACATGCAAAGGTTTGAAGGCCAGCTACACCAAAGTTTGCTCTGGAATAACCAAAAACTAATACTTAGGAGCAAATTTCAATTTTTCCTGTTCAAGCCTTTGAAAGGGAAGTGAATTAAAAGTAGCAGACTAGTAACAAATTACTCAATTAATAAGGTGAGGCATAAAAATCCAGTAGCAACTTCATAAGCTAATCATCCTGTTGGCTTTCTCGGAATGACATTGGGATTCTGTGGCAGAAGAGGAGAGATAATATAAAATGCCAGGCTCTTTGTATAGTACTTTAACTTCAAAGTTATTTTTCCAGTATTAGGAGAGTTCACACAAGTGTTTAAAAAAGAAAGTGATTTAAAAAGAGCAATTTAAGATGCAGCTGCATTCCAGTTTCATAGAATCACAGAATCAATTAGGCTGGAAAGGACTTCTGAGATCATTGAGTCTGGCCTGTGACCAATCCCCACCTTGTCACCAGACCAGAGCACTGAGGGCCACATCCCATCATTCCTTTAATACCTTCAGGGACAGGGCCTATACCACCTCCCTGGGCAGCCCATTTCAATGTCTAATCGTCCTTTCTGTGATGAATTTCTTCCTAATGTCCAAACTAAACCTCCCCACAGCCTAGGACTGCGTCCTCCTCCTGTCCCTGTTCCCTGGGAGCACAGCCCGACCCCCCTGGCTGTCCCCTCCTGTCAGGAGCTGTGCAGAGCCACAAGGGCCCCCCTGAGCCTCCTTTGCTCCAGGCTCAGCCCCTTCCCAGCTCCCTCAGCCTCTCCTGGGGCTCCAGCCCCTTCCCAGCTCCATTCCCAGCTCCAGCCCCTCAGTGTCCTTGTTCAATTGAGGGATCCAGAACTGGACACAGCACTGGAGGTGCTGCCTCACCAGTGCCAAGTACAGGGACAATTTCCAAGCAATTGCCTTCATTCCCACTCATGCAGAGAAGCCTGAGATGAAGGATTGCTGCTGTGCAGCTAGACCTTTCTCATATGGTGGGTAATTTGTGCAGAGCAAGGTTCTCTCCATTTTGGAGCAGAAGTCCAGGGAAAACTTTTAGCCAAAATGCAAATTAGAGCATAACTCCAGAGGAGGCCACGGAGCTGCTGCCAGGGCTGGAGCCCCTCTGCTCTGGAGCCAGCCTGGCACAGCTGGGGCTGTTGAGCTGCACAAGAGAAGGCTCCAGGGACACCTCAGAGCCCCTGCCAGGGCCTAAAAGGGATTTAATAAAAGAAGGTGAGGGGCTTTTTATAGAGGCAGATAGAACAAGGGTCAATGGTATTAAGCTGACAGAGGGCAGGGTTAGATGGGACATTGGGAAGGAATTCTGCCCTGTGAGGGTGATGGAGCCCTGGCACAGGTTTTGCAGAGAAGCTGTGGTTCCTGCATCCCTGGAAGAGTTCAAGGATAAGGTTTGGAACCCCCTGGTCTAATGGAAGGTGTCCCTGCCCATGGCAGGAGGGTGGAACTGGCTGATCTTTATAGTCCCTTTGAACCAAACCTATTCTAGGATTTTATTTTATAATCCTACAATATATCAGCACTAACATTTTCTCCCCTGGGACTTCAAACAGCCTGGAAAAATATGAAATAAGGTAGAGAAGTGGTGTCTGAAAAGCCACCAGTTGTTCACGCTGCATTTCCCTTTTTAAAAATTTGTTGGGGTTCTGCTTGTTTGGTTTTGTCTCAGGTTTGTTGTGTTGCTGAAATGGCTCCCGAGGTATTAAAGAGTCTTTTTTCCCAGCCCCGTGACCAAATAAGAAGTCAGAATTCTCGGCTGTGGTTCTCAAGGTTGTTTATTTTCTCTTATCTAACACATTCTCTTTCTGACCAGCTGAGGTCTGTCCAGCAGGTTGGGTTGAGGAGCTCTGACCACCCTTGGGGTGGTGTTAGCTTTTTATACTAAAAACTATGTGTACTTTATTTACAATAATTTTCCAATACCTATCACCTATGTTAGACAGTCTGTCTCTACTCTAAACCAATCCAGAAGTGCCACCATCACAGCAGAAGATGGAGGACAAGAAGAAGAAGGACAGGACACACCCAGATTCCTCCATCTTGCCTCTTGGACCCTCATTCTAAAAAACCCAAAATTCTACTTTCTCACCCTGTGATAAATTCACTATCATTCTACTCAAACCCTTGTGGCTTGTAAATCTTCACACAAAGTTGCTGACTTCTTCCATGGGCTGAGATCGAAGGCCACAGGTGTTTGTGACTCCGTGCCAAGGTCTCTGAGCCCCCTGCCAGGGTCTTGAGCAGTCAGAGGAATGTCCTGGGTTCAGACAGTTTTGGTGCTTGTTTCTTTGTTTGTCTGTTTGTTTCTCTGCAGCTGGAGGACGTTGGTGACATTATAGAAAAGATTCGCATAGGACACAAGGGCGGAGGGCTGAACTCGGGGTGGCACTTGGACCGTGTGACGATCCGGAGGCTGCTGCCAAACGGGAAGGTAGGCTCTGAAATCCCTGCACATCCCCGGGAGCTGCCACTTCCATCTCCCAGATTGCATCTCTGGTGTACAAAGTGTGATTAACAGCGAAAAACGGCTCCCTGAAGAGCAGTGCGCGCTAAACTTGCTGGAGCCTGGGGATCTGGGGACAACAAACGTGTGTTATCATGTTTTGTTCTTCAAATGTTGATGATAAGGCTCTGAAATAATTACTTTTTCTGAGGCTTCGTGTTTTCATGTGTACTTCTGTTTTGAGGGATCGCAGGGAAGGGAGTGGAAAGTGGGTGTACTATTTTAAAATAAAAAAATATCGTTGCCAAACACGGACAAGAAACAATTTTGTCAGTCCCTTAATCCTGGAAGAAAAAAATACTAGGAGCCAGTAGAATTAAGGCAAGCGAAATGCCTCTCAGTGCAAGTCCCTGAATCATGCTAAAAAATCAAGTTAGATGATAGGATTTTCCGCTGTTCATGTGAACAAGACTAACACAGTACAGTCAGATTGGTGACCTTTGTCCTGTCCACATAAGAAAGTGTCCCTCAGCCCTGCTTTCAAATGCTGGCTATTGCAACAGGGATGAATCTGGCACTGGGGAAGTTCAAAAGAAAACCACCTCTTCAGGGCCAGCTCAGAATTGGAGCAGTAGCTGCATTGTGGAAGACCTGGACTCTTTCCCCTTATTCCAAAGGGATGTCAGCTTTTATCTCCCCTCAGGTCTGCCCACTCCCCAGGTGACTTCTAATGCCAAGATCTGAAACAGTTTGTTCAGTCATGGTGAACCCACTTCTCATCTTGTTTTCTCCTTCAAAATTTACAGGACATGTTTTATTCTCTTTGCTACACAATCAGCTCACAGGTCTTCTTCCTTGAACCCTCCTCACCATAGAATTGTTTCTGGGATTGTTTAGGTTGAAAAAGAACTCCAAGACCATCGAGTCCAACCATTCCCCCAGCACTGCCAAGGACACCACTGACCCATGTCCCCAAGTGCCACATCCACATGGCTTTTAAATCTACAGGAATGGGGACTTCTCTACTGCCCTGGCCATCTCTGCCAGGGCTGGACAGCCCTTTCTGGGAAGAAATTTTTCCCAATATCCAGTGTAAATCTTCCCTGGTGCACCTTGAGGCTGTTTCCACTCCTCCAGTCCCTTGTTCCCCAGGAGCAGAGCCTGATCTCCATCTGGCTCCAACCTCCTGTCAGGGAGTTGTGCAGAGTGAGAAGATCTCTCTTCTTCTCCCATTTCCATCCTCCTGATCAAGCACCCTTCACAAGCCAATACCCTCGGATTGCTCCTCTTTATCACCTTTTTGATGACCTGACATTATCAGACCCTCAGTGTATTGCCTGTCCCTTGCTTAGGTTAACGAACAGGTGTACAGTGTTTTCAGAGATGTTGTTGTTGGTCACAAGCTGGAGAAGATGAAGAGGGAGGCAACCAAATGTGTGGAAGCCAAGGGAAAAGAGATTCCTGGGCTGCCTCTTTCTACACTGGCCTAAACTGAGCACTTTGGGAAGTGCCTGAGAGCTCTGTCTTGGGTGCTCCTCAACTTGCCGAGAGAGGGTCCCGGGGCTGCAGCCCCTCCTCAGTCACTGCAGCAGCTCTGAAGGTGGGGAGGAACCTGAGGAGGGAGGAAGAGAGGAAAGCCCTGAACGACTTGGGAATGGAGAGATTTACAATTCTGCTGATCTTTTGATTATGGCATGGGAAAAAAAAGAAGAAAGCAGAGCGCTGCATGATGCCGCTGATCAGCCGCAGGATATTATGACCTGCCACAGGATAGCAATATGCTGCCAGTGCTTCTAAAAGCTCTGCTACCTGATTAGACTGCTAAGATGTGTCTAGATGTATCTGTAGAGCTGCAAAAGAAAAAATGAGGTCAGTAACTTTTCAGATTAAATTGAAAGCACTTGGGTAGGAAACTAGGATTGTTGCATACTGAAAGAACCGTCTTGGCATGCCAATTATATTTGATAATTATATTTCATTTGTTACAACTTGGAGAAGGGGAAAAGCACTGACTTTTAGTACAGTATCAAACCCTGCTTCTAGATTAGGTCCAGACTCAGACTCTAACAAATTCTGTTCAGGGCTGCAAGAGGATTTTACTGCTGGTAACATAAACCAGGGCACTTTACATCGCTTAAATATTAATACAATCACTAACAGGGAAAGCCCAATAAAAACCGTGGCAATGGCATGGTGATTATCAATAATGAGACAATTAACTCTTGCAGTAAGTGCACATTATGCCCCACTGTGCTGTCACTCCAGTCCCTAGATATCTTGTTACCAAATAAACAGTATTTGCATCAATGGCCCATACAGCCAGCAGTATGAATGCTCAGGAGCTGTTGAAAGCTTCAGTGAGAAATGTGACTGAAGTGGGATCTCTATCAGGAGGAGAGAGTTTCAGCACTGAAGCATCGTTCTGGAAAGCCCTCTCTTCCCAGCCTGCAGGTGTGGAGATAAGCACTGTTCATCAGCTCGGCGTACAGTCAGATAATACAGGTTAAGTGGTCAGACAGCCAGTGCAGAAATGAGGAAGCAGGAATTATTAGGTGCTGTATTCTGCTTGTGTAGCACAAATAACACTTGAAAGTAAAAGATGTGAAATCACCTGAGGTGCTGCCGGTTTTCTTTGACACCATTTTGTATGCCATGCTCCAAACCTCCTCCTGGAGTTAAACATCTCTGTCTGGGGTTAAACTGCAGCGCTGCGGGGAGCAGCAGAGGGGAGGAGAAATGGTCTTTCATTAGCAGCAGAAGATTTGGGCTGTGTGTACTCAAAGTGTGACTCTGCTGCAGTCACACAAGCCCCTTGGAGGGGCTCTGCTTCCCAGCTTCCCTGGGATCTCTGGGTGGTGACACTGTGACCTGTTCATTCCAGGCTGGCTGTGATCAGAGTGCTCATCTGCTCCTGGGTGCACAAGCTGTTCCTCCCCAGTGATGGTGTCAGGGAGGGCAGGATCTGCAGTTCCAGGCTGTAACACACAGTCACAACAATGTTCAGGACTGCTACAGTGAGATCTATTCCCTTCCCTTGCCGTGTATCAATATTTAATATTTAAATAGAAAGAGTAGTGAAAAAGGGCCCTGTATTGGCTTCGTAAGTAATCACAGCAGGGTAATTAAGGTGGAAATTATTCATAAAGAGTGTCTACAAGAGAGCTGGAGAGGGATTTTGGACAAGAGATGGAGGGACAGGATAAGGGAAAATGGCTTCAGATTGACAGAGGGCAGGGTATCAGATATTAGATAGAAATTCTTGACTGTGGGGGTGGGGATGCCCAGGTCTCTCAGAGCAGCTGTGGCTGCCCCTGGATCCCTGGGAATGTCCAAGGACAGGCTGGACAGGGCTTGGAGCACCCTGGGATAGTGGAAGGTGTCCCTGCCCATGGCAGGGGCCTTGGAACCAGATGATCTTTAAAGTCCCCTCCAGCCCAAAAAACCCCCTCTGGGATTCTGTTAGCCTCCACTGGTATGTTATATATGAAAGTGATGCCACACAGTATGCTGGAAAGAGCAGAAAGTCCCTGTGAAGGGTAAGAGATAAATTATGAGCTTGTCAGTAAAGAAAGGGCCTTTTTTCTGTATTTATTTACTGTGAGATTAAAACTAACTTCTTTATTTTTTTTTTTTTTTTGTTCAGACTTGTGGCCTCTGTGTCTTGCATGGTGGCTCATGCTCCTCTCTTCATGGAGTCATAGCCTGGGGTGCCCAGCAGAAAAGCTGCCTGCATCTTACCATCTTGGAGGCCTTATGGGAGTCTGTTCTTAATGAATAGTCTGGGATTAATTTTGTTTACCAAGTGGAAAACACATGTTCTATTGTTTTTGTCTGTTTGATGATATAAATCATATTTGTTTCTACCAAAGTGAAGTCAAAAGAAAAGATCAAAAATTAAGTTATTATTTTTCTCCTCTTATTGCATGTATGGGAATTGCCTGGAACTCAGCTTGAGTCACCGAATTACAGGCGAAATCATGAAGTATTGAGCTCAGGGGAAAAAAAAAACCAAAAAAAAAAACAAACCCTACTGGCTTCAAAGAAAATGCTGCCTGAATAAGGGTTGAAGAGGAATTGCAGAGTCTCAGTAAAGCACAGCTTCAGCAGGAATGGTGCAGTCCTGGTTAGGAATTTACAAGTTTTAATACTGGGAAGGGCAGAGATCTGCTGGATCATGCAGCCACTCTCACACACCCACTGGGAATCCTGTTTTCTGCTGCATGCTCAGTGCTTCTTCTGAGAGCCCTCAGATGTCCTCTCTCTGGAGGAAATACATTTCTGTTACTATGCATGTCAGAGTGTTTTCAAAGGGAAATGCTAATGTGTGTTCATGTTGTTTTGAAGAGATTTCCTCTGTCATGTTGACTCCAGGGCTCGGAAACTGTCACATTTCCATGTGAGAGATGGCTTGCAAAGTCTGAAGATGATGGTGAGACTGTCAGAGAACTGGTGCCATCTGATATTTTTACTGAAAAGCTCATGAAGGATGGGACACTCAAGCAGATAGAGGAAGAAGTTGAAGAACCTTTAGAAGGTAATATAATCCTAGGAGTACGTAGGGATGATTTGTCTGGTTTTTTGAAGGAAAACATTTGGATGTGTGGTTCAGTGCCATGCTGGTACCACTGTTCACTTCTCTTTCCCTTCCTGTTCTCTGCCTCTCTCACACCTGGGGCACTTCTGTGCAATAATGTTATTATTTTCCTCTGGGGCTTTTGAGAACCTGTCACAGACACCCTTCCATACCCATAGTTTCCATATCTCCTCTGATGCCTAACAAAATTCTTGTCTTCCAGGCAGCGTTGACCTCTTCACTCCTTTGCCCAACTTCGCCTGTCCTGTGCACTCTGCCTCTTCCTTTCCCATCCTATGAGTCTAATTAATGCTCCTCTTTCCTCCCAAAGTTGTTTTGCCTACTGCCCTTCAGGTACACATGCATAACCTTTAAAACCTGGGTCATTGCAGCCACCTTCACCTCATTAAAGTGCCTCCCAGGAGGAGAAAAAATTCTTGTTCAGCTCTGAGTTTTTCTTACAAAGTGGTGACATTCAGTGTGTGGCATTACTGGTAGCTGAAGTAAATGAAAAAGAACTGAAATTTCACCCCTAAGTCACCATATGGCCAGCTGCTTGTACCTCTTTTTCCTCTAGAAAAAGAATCTCCTTTTCTCACCCAGAGCTCATTATGTCCTTGAGAGAGGTCATGAACTTCCTCATCCTGAGCAGGGCAAAAGGAATTCAGCTGCCATTTTCATTCTTGGCTCGTGCATCTGGAAACAAGATGATTCAACTGAGAAAATAAGTTCTGTCACTGCTTCTTTTCTTTCAGAGTCTGACTTGCATTTACTGTAGAACGTTGTCAGGGTGGAATTAATGTGGATTGTTTTCCATTGCCAAGGGAAGAGGTGCCTCGCTGGAAGGAAGACTGGTGTCCTCCTTCCTGGTAGCTCATGGGAGATTTCTTTTCCTGCATTTTCCCTACAAACTAAGTGGGAAAGACTAAGTTTTCCCACTTAGTCATTGATTTTAAAATTGTCTTTAAAATCAGTTGTCTTTAATTGATTTTAAAGACAATTTTAAAATCAATAACTAAGTGGGAAAACACTGGCAAGGGTGGCTCAGAGTAGTGGTGAATGACCCATTCCTGGAAACATTTGAGCTCGGGCTGGAGGAGGCTCTGATAAACCAGGTTGGTCCCCTGTGGAGGGTGTCACTAACCATGGCAAGTGGGTTGGACAAGGTGGCCTTTAAAGGTCTCTTCCAACCCAAACAAATTGATGATTCAACGATTCTATGATATCTAGATGCCTGCATGACATTTCCCTTAACTTGTTAATTTCTGTTGCTTTACCTTGGATCAGTTACCATTTGTTAATTAACCTACGTGACTCACTTTTCCCTCTGAAGGCAAAGCCTTGAAACAAATTTTACAATCTATGGAATAGAATGTTTTGGATTGTTGAAAGTTTCTTCTGGCATGGAGCTAGGGCTAAGTTTGGGAACTTCTGCTTTAGATATGAAATATCTGGGACAAGAATTAAATCTTCTGCATGTCTGTGAGTCCTCATACATCTTGGGCAGCGACATGGTGTAAATGGAAAATCAGCTGATGGAAAATCAGCTCGTGGTATTCTGAGGATCATCTTTTTTTAATAATACACTGTGTTTTAGTCCTCAAGGTCTCTAGAACTAGCAAGCAAAGGCCAAGGAGGGATGCATTGACTAATGGGACAATATGCATTGCTTCCTTCATTATTAAAGTAACAGCTGCCTCTCAAATATGGAGCTGTAGCTCTGTAGGACATATGTGAGGAGGCAAACCAGAAAATCCAGCACTGCACATAGTCCTGGTGGATGTTCTCAGGTGGTGACTCTAATCCGTTTCTCAGAGAGATCAATGGAAATCTTTCATGGATGACAAAGCAGAATAGGGTCTGTCTTACTGTGAAAGAAGAAAAAGACAATATAGCAATTTTCTTCAACCCTGTTAACGTACACAGAATCCTAACTAAGACTTTGTGCCTCTTGCTCGTTTACATTGCCCTGGGATTTGCAGGGAGGCATTCTCCATGGCTCATATGCCACCAGGGTAATCAGAGACTTGTACAGACCCTCACTGTTTTCCTGGAGAGGATGCTTTCAGTAACTGTTTGTTTTCCCCATATAATTGGGAGAAGAGTAGCAAAATAAAAATAGGAGTATTTAACAGGTTTAGTAAAGCACATTACTAAAGGCTTGATGAGGTTTTATTGTCTCATCATTGAGCAAGCTAAAGAGAAAGGGTACTTAAACAGCACAGCTCCAGCCCTTCCTTAATTAAATACTCTCTCAGCAAAAGGACCCAGAAACCTGTTCTCTGTCTATATGGGGAATTTGTAGAGATACATGCCATTAACTCCTGTAGTAATTGCACATCTGAATTCCCAGTCTTTGTTTATGGAAGATGGAGTATTAAGGATTCACAGCTCTGAATGGCTTGTTCTCAGATCTGTGTCCCTGGAGTCTCTGTATGAGAAGGTGCTGAGCTCCCTCACCTCTATCGACTTCCCATCCCGTAATGGCCATAATGATTCTTTGCATTTTTAACCGTGAGCTGTGTGATCAAAGCAATGTACAGGCATTGATTAGATGGAGAAAAGGAAAGCCAGCAAATGTCAGCCCAGGGATTCTCCAGTCTGTGGATTGGAAACCTCAAAGAGAAACCATATTGGGTGTAATACCTCTAGAAGTGACAAGCAGAAAACCTGGGGCACATTTTCTTAGGTAACTTAATTGCCTAACAAGGATCTTAATATTTCATCTGACCAGAAATCATCTCTTGTTTCTTTCTGCAGTTCACACCTACAAGATCAGTGTGTTCACTGGGGATATCTATGGTGCTGGGACTGATGCCAATGTCTTCCTAAATATCTACGGAGACATGGGGGACATGGGAGAGAGAAAACTCAGCAAATCTGAAACAAACTTCAACAAGTTTGAAAGAGGACAGGTACAAATGTGAAGGGTTAATGACACTTTCTGTTTCTCAGTCTTCAATCTGTCAAGTCAATGACTGCCTTTATAGGCTGAGTTTTCCTATGAGGGATGAATTGATTGATTCCATTTACCACATTCATTACCTCTTAAAATGCTTTGTATGGATTGTCAGCTGGGTATTACAGCTGACAGGCACTGCAACAAACAGGCAGATGTTCCTATGAAGTCACTGATGGACAAATTATGAGCTTGGTCATGGAAACTGGCTTGAGCTGTGAGCTGCAGATTCCCACAGTCCCTGTGCAACTGACTTGCATGTACACAGTACATGCTGGAATTCACCACAAAACTTGTTAAATTGATGGGACCTAAACTTCAGCTGTATCTGGGAAAGCAACACCGAAAGTGATGTTCTGTGGCCATCCCATAGGTCACTTGGATAAAATGGTGGCAAGGATTGACTTATCTGGATTGTTCCTGCAAATCTAACTGGATTAGAAAGGGAAGTATACTTAAAAATCTCCCGGGATCTCAATATTCTAACTGGTTGAAAAAGTGGTGTTTCTTGCAGCTCCCCTTCTAGCAGAAGCAGGCTTTAAAACATTTCCCTGAAGAACAGTTTTAGCTTACAGATATGCCTCAGTAGACTTCTGCAAAGCTTTTAGCCAAATGCCATCCAGCAATATGGAATTTAAACATATGTGTTCTGTAGCCTCCCTTTTTTTGCCGTTTTCCGGTAGATGATCTGTTGAGAGTTTGTTAACAGAACCCACTGCTCTTGAACACCCTGCAGGAGGACACGTTCACAATACAGGCTGTGGACCTTGGCATTATATACAAGATCAAGATTCGCCACGACAATAGCATGTTCAGCCCTGACTGGTTTCTGGAAAAAGTGGAGATCCTGGATGAAACCACAGAGGAATCGTTCGTTTTCCTATGCGAGCGCTGGCTCTCTAAAAAGAAAGAGGACAAAAAGATAGAGCGGACACTTTATGAACAGGTACAATTATGGCTCACAGCAGATTCCACTGCTACTCATACCAATAAAATTCTTGAATATCTGGTGGAAGTCCAAGGCAGCTCATTAGGGACTCAAAGGCTTTTGGCTTATCCAAAATGAATTTCTGGTTTTCAGACAAGAAAGTCTGAAAGTAAGGCCACTCTCAGCCCATTGTCACTAGCTCTGTAATTTGTAATTTCAGCAGAAAAATAAAGGAGTGTAAGTGGAACCCTTCAGATGAGAGTTCACTACCTTGCTGATATACAGCATTTTCCTGCTGCTGTCCTTGCCATGCCCCCAAAGCAGGTGATTAGTGGGTCCCACTATTCAAAGTCCTCCAACCAGAGTATTGGGTCCTTTTACTTCATCCTCACTTGGACTGGGTGTTTGTGTTTCCCTGTTTCACCATTGCCTGACATAAAAGCCAGGTCCCTTTGCTACCACTCAAAGCACCAAACATTTTTTAGTGAAGTGTCCTTTCTACTTGCACGCTCTCTATTGCTTATCAGCCTAGTGCAGCTAATTGGAATTTGAGGTACATGCTCTAATTAAAAGTAGCAAACAAGATTAATAGACTTCTCTTACTTCTGTACAGTGAGACATAATAAAGCAGCTGATTATAAGTTCATTTTATTTAAGGAGTCCACTTTGCAAAGTACGCTGTAAGTGACAGTTACCACTAAAGTGATCATCAGTGGAATTGTCCTGGACTCGTCCTGAAAGCAGCAGAGTGGATGTAAGAGGAGTTACACCATGGATGAGTGTTGCCTTATGCTGCCTCATAAAAACTGCTGCACACAACCCTATCAGTGCTCGTGGACAGCCTTGCCCAGTTGCTTATATCAATTCATAATGAGGAAAAACTAATCACTCAATTTTTTTTTTTTTATTATTTGACAGTGTGTCTCACACTGTCAAATAATTATTTGACATTAGCCTCACATCTGTTTTTTTTACAAAAGCTTCACATTTACTGGAGGATGACACCAAATGCATTGCCAGCAACTCTTCAAACACAGCCAGTGTTTCACATCACTCAGGTTTGCAGCACTCTGCCTCTTGTGATATTTGACCTGTACCTAATGAGCAGCCCTGGGAGAAGGAGCTGGGGGTGCTGTGGGTGAGAGCTGGACCTGCCCCAGCTGAACCCCCCTGCCCTGGGCTGAGCCCCAGCGTGGGCAGCAGGGCAGGGGGGATCCTGCCCCTGTGCCCCTGGGCTCAGGTGAGAGCCCACCTGCAGAGCTGCCCCAGCCCTGGCTCCAGCAGCACAAGGAGCTGGAGCTGCTGGAGGGAATCCAGAGGAGGCAGCAAGGTGATCAGAGGGATGGAGCAGCTCTGCTGAGAGAATTTGGACTGTTCAGACTGCAGAAGAGGCAGCTTTGGGGTGACCCAATTGTGGCTTTCCAGTACCTGAAGAGAGCTGACAAGAAAAATTGAGAGAGACAATTTAAAAGGGCCTGGAGTGATGGGACATGAGGGGTATGGGTTCAGATTGAAAGAGAGTAGGTTTAGATTTCATATTAGGAAAAAATTCTTCCCTGTGAGGGTGGGGAGGTCCTGAGGATGCCCAGAGCAGCTGTGGCTGTCCCTGGATCCCTGGCAATGTCCAAGGCCAGGCTGGATGGGGCTTGGAGCAGCCTGGGACAGTGGGATGTGTCCCTGCCCATGGGGGTTTGGAGCAAGATGACCTTTAAGGTCCCTTCTATGATTCTCTGAGCTATGGCACTGCTCCATTGATCTGAATTTCAGACAACCTCAGACAATTTCAGACAGGTAGCACAGAAAAGGTCACAACTCACAAGACCCTCATGTCTATTATATTTTCTTTTTATGTAACACACATCCAAAACGGCCTGCCAGGGTTACCAATGAAGTAAATGAAAATTCACCAGTACAATACAAGTCACATTTATTCGAGCTACACTGACCAAAACTGTACCTGGGGGACTAGAGGCATTTCTTCTCATGTTCTTGGAGGCACATCTGAACAGGGGACGCCACGAGCACTCAGCCTTATTACTTTCCCAAACATCTCCCACCCAGAGCTACAACGGCGAGCGGAACAGCCTGGACGGCTCCTCTCTCAGTGTGTCCAGCCAGGACAGCAATGCCAACCAGAAGGAGCCCAAAAAATCCAGCCTGGTCAAGGCAGCAGAGGAAGGCTCACGTGAGTGGCCGTGCCTGAGTGTTTGGTTGCATACATCCATGTGCTCCTGGCTTTCAGTGCTTAAGAGGTTGTGTTCATCCTGCTGAAGAGCCAGGAGAGGCAGAACAACAAATTATTACTCCTTTCCTTGTGCTATGACTGCTTTGGGAAAAGCTGGATCAGGACTTGTGTTTCTGTGTTTGCTGCTTTTCCTGCAGCTCTCTGACCTCAAAAGTGGGATAAGTCATGAAATTCACAGAAAATCCAGCATTTCCAAACTGTTTGTTTGACTTAATTGAGATGGCATTTCAGGATGAAATGTTATTTAATTTGAATTTAAGTGTGATTTATTTTTAGAACTTTTTAGGTTTCTTTTTCCTTACCACACATAGTGTGCATCACAACAGCTGTCCTGTGGGTCTAGTGGAGGGTGTCCCTGCCCATGGCAGGGGGGTTGGAATGAGATGAACTTTAAGGACCCTTCCAACCTTGCTTTCCTATGATTCCATGATTTATATACCCTTTTTATGACTACCTTGGTGTTCCAGGACAATGACTTATGAGCTAAATTGAAACTACAGTTCTTTGATATTCTACATGAAGCCCTTTAGCTTAAGATTTTAGATGTGTGATTACAATACTGTGTTTTATTGACTGAGCAGCAGCTGCATCACAGTTACTGTCTGTCTATGTGCTTTTAATCCACAGCAAGCGCAAAATGATTAAATTTATCTTAAGCTTCCATGGTAAATGAAGTGAAAATTATGTCATTTTCCTTAGGAGTTAAAGATAGCTCTCCAGGGGGACTCACACAGAGCCCAGAGGTGGTCACAAGGTGGCTTGCAGCTCCTCTGATGCCCAGCAGCCTGAGGTGTGATATCTGGGTTGCCCATCCCACACCTTTCACTTGGAGCCTGATTTAATGCTGCACATTGCTAAACCTGGCCTGCAACCCATGTGTCTTGGGGCGGCCCTTCTTTTGTAATCCCACATTGTGTTCAAATTAAAAAAAAAAAAAAAAAGTGATTTCCATGTTCCTTCTGATATTACTTGTGTGCTGTGACAATGGATAACATCTGCCACGTTGGCATTCCGTGTAGTTTCACAAATAATGGGTGAAATATCATCATTTCCCTGGAGAGCTCCTCTCCAGCAGAGCTAGGAGAGCAGTTCCCATTGTCCCCATTGTGCCAGGGTGGTCTTTTTTCCCTGAGTCCTGCAGTTTGGTGTCACCACTATCTCTGCTCAGTGACATGGCCTCATTAAGGAAGCTGCTTCCTGAAGGAATGTCAGATTTCCTGAAGGAATGTCAGATAAGATGGACTGGGTGAGCCAGGCAGCCACCTTCCCAGTGGGATAAAAAGCCAGCTCAGCTGGTTCACTCAGGAACTGGGAGTTGGCTGGGAAAGGGAGTGACTTTTGTCACTCAGCCCAGTCCTGACTGTGCCAAGATCAAACTGGCAAATGCCTTCGAGGGGCAGGAGGTGCAGGATGTGAGGATGGAGCTCAGGGAAAGGTCCTCTTGGCTAGGATGCTGCTGGAATCTGAACTGGGAACCTTGTCCCATGCTGGAGGGCAGCCTGGAGATGGCATGGATGGATCCCTGAGGAAACCCACACTCCTGAGAGGGGAACATGTGGTCCCCAGAACTCTGTGCTGGCTCTTGAGGACAAGGAGAGGTGGGCTGGAGGACCTGGGGTGTCCTGCTGTGGCCACTTGGTGCAGGTTTTGCTTTCTCCTGTGTTTGAAAAAGGGAAAATATGAGTCCCAGATAAAGAGGGAAAGAACAGGGAGGGAAGATAAACTAATTTAAGAATCCATTTTTCCAGTTTTCAGAGGAAAGAACAGCAAAGGATGTTTCCTGGCCTCTGATAGTAAGCTACTCTGGAACTCTGTATCCATTATTTAAAGTGGGAAATTATAGCTACTCAAAGTTCTCATTTCTTTTTTTATAGGTGTTTCAAGTACCTTGGCTTAAGGATCATCTAGAAATGCTGGTAGTTCTCTGAACCTAGTTTGTCACAGCAGAACAGGACAAAACCTGTATGGAAGAAAATGTCCCTGTTCAAAATATACTTTATTTAAAAGTCTGGAGATGTCCTAAACATGACCCCTCAATATATTCTTATAAAATCTACCTTGACTACAACTAAACCCCTTTCCTGCTAAATGCATCATTGTGCTGATATACCCACTAGAATGTAAATTTTACCATAAATGGGAGAATAAATCTTGCCTAATCATCATGTCCTTTTATGTTGGTACATAAAATCCTCAAATTGGGGCTGAACGAATCTTTTTGGGTTCTGCTCTGTCCAGAGGTGAGGACAGATTTGTTCAGCATGAATTTATGCCTTCTCTGATGTTGCAAAAGTATTCTGAGTCTGATGTGAACAGTACATATTTTTTAGTACAAACTCCACCTCAAAAATGTTGTTAGTCATCATAAAGCAAAATCAGATGTCAATCTTGGGTAATTTGAAAACCAGCCAATTTTTTTTGTCAACTTACAAACTTTTTTATTTTTAATCAGAAAAGTGATGATGAAGCCAGGCTGCTTCAAGTCTGTGACGAAGCAAGTTTCAGAGCTCTGAGTCTTGTCAGAACTGTTTGAACAGCCCTGCACAAATGTTCTGAGAAATCAAACGAGTATTCAGCGACCAATTCTGCACCGCCTGCTTGGCTTACCCAAATGAGCTTTTGGAAAGCCCTTGAAAAGCAGTCTGGCACTTCCTCCCTTTTAACAGCTGAACTGAAATTTCTGAAAACCACAGAAAAACCACCTCCTCTTTTACCAAGCCTTGCCCTGAAGGCTTTTCCCCCAACCAAAATGATTATGCAACACACAAAATTATTGAGTGACTTACCTTTAATACAAGGATTTGTTCTCTTCTGTCTGGGTTTGTACAGGGATGCTGAAACCCTGAGCTGCCCCATAGATCACAGCAATCCTTGAATGAGGCACAAAGGAGAGCATTTGTGGTTGTTCTGGGACATTCAGTCGGTGATGGCTTACCTTGGAGTCAGCACAGATTTATTTGTCTTTATTGAACAGGGAGTGTAAGATCACTTTGGCCTAATAGCCTGTTTAAGATTTAGGTGCTCAGACTCATCTTCAGGAAGGTCTCTTGGTGTCAATAAGGATTCAGGCCTTCTGCTATTCTGTCATGCATTAGGGAGAAATCTGGACTTATAACTTCCTTGAAGCCAGTAGGGTTGTCTGGGGAAATTAACCCTTGCAGAATTCAGTCCCTAGAGCGCCATGGGAAAGTAGTCTCCAAAGCACACTTGTAGCCCAACAAAGCATGATGTTATCACTTCTCCAAATGAATTCAATGGGATGTGAACCTATTTGGCATGCACAGCTGCTCCCTCTGATGGGATGAGCCCCTGGTTTTCTCAAGTCTGGTACAAGTGCATATGTGTGTGGGTTTTGTGATGAGCAAACCTCTCTCTGTGTGGCAGTGATCCCGTACCACATCACCGTCACGACGGGCACGGAGTACGACTCCAGCACCGACAGCCGCGTGTTCATCATCATCATGGGCCCGCAGAAGGTGCAGACTGAGAGGCTGTGGCTGGATCTCCCAGAAGGAAAGGATGAATTTGCAGATGGCTCTGTGGAGAAATTTTCAGTTTGGGGCCTAGACGTTGGGGAGATCAAAAAAGTGGAGGTATGTTGTGAATGTAGCGCGAGCGCTGGAGGCGTATGAAATACGTGGCCAAATAAAGCACGTGGTTCTGTTACTCTTAGCAGCGGAGGAAAGGCTCTTGGGTCTAAAAGGAATGTAAACAAGACTTTGCTGATGAGATTTTGCATGCCTCTGAACCTGTAAATAAGTATGCTTTACTTTGCATAAAACCAGGATCCTCCTGAAGCGGAAGATAATTGTGAATTGTAAAGAAGTTATAACACGTCCCAGTTTTGTCCCATCCCTGGCACTGCTTTTTCTTACTCAATCCCTGCTATTGCCAGATGCAGTGAAGCTTCCCAGGATGCAGTTCTTCATTGGTCTTTTTCCTAGTTGATTTTTTTCACTATTTCCAATAGGGTTTCATAAATTGTGAGAAACACATCTTGTATAATTTCCCAGATAAACAGGAAAATTGTTTTCACAGCTTGGAGGACACAGACTTAGAGAAGAAAATTAATCATAATTTGTAAGTAATGTGCTCAAATATATTTCGGTACAGGAACCATTTTTTCTGTTATGGCTCAGGGAGACACAATTTGCATAGATTTTCCATCACTGGGCTTAAACTTGGCATGAATATTCCAGAGCGTTTGTGTACATCATTCTTGTTTCATATGGCAGTTCCACCTCCTTAAAGCTTGCTTCAGCCCCTCAGGTAGGACTCTAGGAGCCTATTTAATTTTGTTTTTACCACATCCCTTTGTGGAAGTAATCCTATCTGTTGATGTGTGTGCCTGTATAATGGGAAAGAGACAAGAAAGAAAGAGAAATCCTAACTTATAAGAAAATCTTTGCGTCTGTATGTCCTGCTGTTGCAGCTGAGGGACTGTCACTCACACCGACTTTCACTCAAGCAATGAATTCTGACATCTTGAGAAATTTCTGTATCAGATTTGAGTTTATTATCAAGCCATTTTCTTAATGCACTCCCAGTTATTATGTGTATCAGTGGCACTTTCTGTCTGACCCATCTCGAGGTCAAACTTTTTATAGTGAAGCAAGTGCATCAATCCTTCTCTTCCACATTGTGCACACAGGGAAACAGCCATGGAGTGGGACAGAGAGGGAGGAAAATAACAGTGTCACCCCTCAGGGTCAGAGAGACAGAAAGAACAGTCTGAAGAAAGAAATACAAAGGGATGCTGGAAAAGATGCAGTGAATAGGGTAGGGAATGGGTAGAAAATAGAAGTAGGAGAAGACACTTTGAAATAGGCAGAAGCAAAGCAAAAATTAATTTGAAAGGGAATACAAATGGGAAAGAAGATAAAAGGTTGCAAATAAAATGTAGAGAGCTAGAAAAAGAAGTAACATATATCTTTCAGGCTGGTGATGTTCCTCTGACTCTTTCACCCTGTACTCAGTGATCTCACCAGCCTGCTGCCTCACCCCTGGCTCCCTGTTCCCTTCTGGTTTGTGACTCCCCAGCTCGCAGCTGAAGGAGCCACCTGCTCCTGGCCTTCTGCCTTCCCTCGTGCAGTGCCCCCAGCTCAGAAGGTCCCTTCTTTTGGATCCATGTCCCAGGGATGACATTGATGTGCTAGTCTGCCGTGGTTGCCATGGCACCAGTACGCGTTTTCCTTCTAGAAAATTGCAGTGTTCGGGGACATTGCAGAAAATTGCTAGTTATCTACTTGGGGGAAAAGTGAGGAACAGTTCATTCTTGGGTTTTGGCATTTGTCTGTTTGTGTAGAAGGTGAACAGTTCTGAGTGTGAGTTACCATGTGAAAACAGCATAGTATGAGGATTAAGTTTCCAGGAGCCCTCTGCATAACCCAGGCAGCAGACTGTACATTTAGCAGGGTGGTGAGATTTGCTGTGTGATTCTACTCCTAGTTTAGTATTATGCACCTGCTACAAATGCACTCCACTGAGAGCAGAAACAGTGGAACATGAAGTAGTTTGAAAGGGGCCCATTTATTCCTCTCTTGTAAGCCTACAGATATAATATTTACTACTGGTGGACTTCAATAGACACTCTGACATGAAAACAAATAACACAAGTTATTCGGTGTAGACACTTTATACTGTGTTTTCAAGTAGTTTTGAATATTTCTTCTCCTAATGAATGAAAGTATCTCTGTTCCTAGACTGTTGTTGCTGCAGAGAGACACAGGTATGTCTAGGAGAGTCCTGAATTGTTTTTTTTGTCATAAACCTCTTCTGGTTCAGAGCCTCTCTCCACCATGAGCACAGAGGAAGATCAAGAACACCCAAATGTTGCAAATGCAAGTCCAGTCCCTCAGTGACTAGGGACCTGACCCTAAGGTTTCTCTAGTATTCCCTGAACCTTCTTTCCACAAATATTCTCTCAGATTTTCCCTCTGCCACTGTGCTCAGTTTCTATGTGATCCTGAGCTGCCCAGTATAAATTGTGAATCTCAGTCTCAGAGAAGTGCAGTCCCTCAAGGACAGGAGGAACAAGTTATAAAGGTTTTCAAGCAGCCCAAGTAAGGATCCACCTGCCTTTGAAATTCTGTCATTCTAATTTAGCACAAACATCTCAGCCCAAACCACTTGCTGTGATATTGATATGCACATCCAGGCTACGCTGCTGGCATGGCCGTGGCTTGGCATTATTCACTCCATTGGCATCGTCTGTCTAAAGATTTACCTGGAATTGAAAGTCAAATCCTGGTGCTCTGCTCCTGAAGTCCAGCCACAGGGAAGTCTTGGCTGACACAGATGAAATTAGTCCCAGAATTTACATTGTTCTTGAGGTCCTTGGAAAGCTGTTAGTGCACAGGTTCTCCAAGGCAGCTGGATGCACACGTTGTTTCCTTCTGGCTGTCACTAATATCAAAGAAGTTAAAGTTTGCTGTGAAAATGAGGCAGCTAGCAATGTCTTGGAAAGAAACTTTGCACAGGGAAGCTGTGGATATCCCATCCATGGAAGTGTCCAAGGCTAGGTTGGATGGAGCTTGGAGCAACCTGGGGTAGTGGAAGGTGTCCCTGCTCATGGCAGCAGGGTTAGAATGAGATGGGCTTTAAAGTCCTCAATGATTCTATGATGTGACCAGGTGGGGGTGTGCAATGAACCCAAAAAACCAACAGATTTTATTAGGCTCATTAGGATTTTCCCTCCATCTGCTTTGTTCACTGCACAACCATGGCCCTGAACTTTCCCCACTACCTCATCCATGCCATCCTGCAGCAGAGCTGCACTAAGACTCTGACTTTGGTCTTGGAGATGCTCGGCCAGGCTGGCAGGGAGGGAATGGGAAGGCAAATGTTATATTCCCATTCACCTCACACCCCAAGAATCTGAGGATTAATGTATCCATTGTAGAGTTGAATTTCCCTAGTGGTTAGCTCTAATTTTCCGCAGCTGCACAGACATTAGTACAGCAATAATACTCCTAATAGCAGTGATGGCTGAGACCGTCAGACAGAAAAGATCACTTGTTTTTGGGAAAAAAATAGATACCACAAATATATCACCCTAGATGAATCTGTTATTAAAAATTGCTTTCTGAGCCTCCCTAAATATCCTAATAATTTAAAAACAAAAACCAGTGAGGTATTTGAACTAAGGACCTCATTTTCCTGGAAATGACAAAAACAACATTTTCTCTGAAAATAATTAAGTGCAGGTAGCTCATTGGAACAACTGACCAAGGTTGATACATTAACTTGGATACATAATTTTGCTTCCAAGCCTGCCCCAGGTTGAATTCCCCACCTTCTTTAAGAGGGACACATGTAGGTTCTTGGAGAAATTTACATTGTCAATATTGTTTTACTGCTGATACACCTGCAGGAACCCTGGTTTTTGGCAGATTCAGTTTCAGGTGGGCTCTGGCTTTCATAATTAACTCATTCCTGCACTGTCTCTGTATTTCTGCAGGATCTCTGCCCCTCCTGCCACCTCTAGTATTCTTCCTCTTTCCACTTAAATTTTTTTCAGGAGCTCCTTGTTAATCCATGCAGGCTTGTGGCCACCCTTATGTGACTTCCTGGTCTCCAGGACAGATCATTCCTGAGGCTGGAGGAGGTGGTCCTTGAAAATCAACCAGCTACAGATGTAAGCTCCATCTGTTGTCTCCTGTACAAAGACAGAGCTTTTGCAGTCTAAGGGGATAGGAAGCAGAGAAACAGCCTCATACATTCAGTTCACTTATATGTGGATTTGTGAGGGAAGTGCTTGTAATAATGCATGTGGGTGTTTGCTGAGCGTCTTTCCTCTTGGCTATAAAGCTTTGAATAATCACTTCCAAGCGTAGTGACAGAAGTTGAAAGGCTTGTAAAGGTGGAGAAGTGTGTCTGCTGCCAAGTGAAAATGAGCATATAGAGGTCAATGGTGCAAGAGCAGAGTGACAAGAGGCCAGACATGTTTCCATGTAGGTCAGTCCAGTCTAGCTTGTCTTTTGTTGAGACTGGCCTTCCCTCATGCACAGCAGTTGATGACCTGAGCTCCCTTGCCCATGGCAATGGCACCATTTCCCTCCATTCCCGTGAGGAATGGCTTGTTGTGGTGCAGTACACAGCCTCTGAGTCCCTCCTTGCCAGGTGAATCACCCTCTCCCAGAGAAACCCCCTTTCCCCAGGAGCTGTTTTCTCTCTGGCCCTCGCAGGTGGGGCACGACGGCGCTACCCCTGAGAGCTGCTGGATGATGGAAGAGCTCACCATCGTCGTGCCCACCAAAGGCGTCATGTACAACTTTGTCTGCAAGTGCTGGCTGGCCAGAGACAAAGGGGACGGGCTCACTTCACGGATCCTCAACATCCTGGATGCAGAATGTGTTAACATTGGCATCAAGGTAGGCACCAGGCTCCCTTTGTGCCTTTAGCTGCTGCAGGGAGCTCTGCTGGCATAGCTCATGTGTCAGCAGCTCTCAAGCTTTGACTTCTTCAAGTGGCTTGAGCCTTCCCTTCACTTCCCTTCTCTATGTTATTTTATCAGCAAAATCTTTAGGCTTGGCTTAGGATCACGACTGTTTAGGGCCCTGTTTAGTGAGGCTGGCTGGAGGCAGCCATGGCGTAGTGGGAGGGCAGAGCAGGTGGGGCCCAGTTCAGCAACCTGTCCTCATCTTGTCACCCACTGGGTCACCTGGTACCCCCAGAGTGGGAGCAGCTGCAAGGTGAAGGATTACTTGTAACTCATCAGATTAGAGCAGTGGAAATGTCCTAATCTTTTGATCCCTCCATGACGTGGCTACATACCAAATTTTCTAACAGGAGATAGGGAAATTAATAATTACTGGAAGTTGTTGAAACATGAAAACATTTGTATGCCTGATTTTTGGTGAGAATAACTAACTAAAGTTGAATCAATGATGAACAAAACTCTTTTTTTTTCATTCAAATATATGAATTTTGAAGTAATATCTGCTATGCCATATTTCAAACAAGTACAAATTGGAAAGCTGAGCTATGCTGATTTTGGATGTAAGATTTGTAGCAGAAATAACACTCTGGATGAATGTGACTATAACACTGTGTTTAAATACCTGTGTGGCAATTTAAAATCTCCACAGATGTGCTTCTATTTACAGTCAGGTTACACTTTCATAGTGCATTATTTTTTCTTTATGCTGCTCTTGATCCCCAAGCTAAAGATATTCTCCTGAAATCTTTCTTGTTCCCCAGACATGCAAAAAATTGATAACTTTTTTAGCATTTGTGAAGGATTCACCAAATCAATGCAGATTTCTGTGGTGGAATTGACCTAAGAGGGTATTAAAACCTTCCTCAGACTTAATACAAAGGTTAAAACCAATCTCATAAAAATGCCCCATCTATTGTTTAACCTCCTGGATGAGGTTTCCAAGCCCCTATTGGTAAGCTGATGGCTTGCCCATAGATTGAAGTGGATCTTAATGAAGACTTATGTTCAGTCTTCCTTTAACAGCACAATCCTGAATATTTATTTTCACAAACACACCAAAAATAGACACATCTAGCAACAATTTTTTCCCTGTGATGTTGGGCCAGAAACTTGATGGGAGACTTGAAGGAAATCTGGGGAGATGCTTGGGACATGAAAACAGAAGTGAGCGTTTGACTTTCTGATCAGTCTCCTAGCTGAGGGAATTTGGGACTGTTCCCTCATTAATAGCTGTAGTTAGAAACTGAGTCTTACAGGCATTTTAGTGTTCAAAGACAACTGATATGTTTAGCATCATTGGGAAGATTATTACTTTTCTATTTTTTTTTCCTGCTTGGCTTTTGTACAGCCGTACATACCCATTTCAACTTAATTTTCTCCTTGGCTTGATATTCCCTCTTTCTGCTTTAAATTGAATATTTGCTTTCCCATAGTTGGAGAAATTACTCAATGTCCACCACAGCCATTAGAAGCCTTCAATGCAGTGGTAAAAGAGTTTTTCTCCTTCCTGTAAAAAAATAGGGTGCATTGCTAAGATTTAAAATACGTGTGGATGAATATGTGATCAACAGGTTACTCAGGTTCAAACAAATGTGAAAAATATTTTTTATATCATGTTATTCCTATGCACTGTGTATTTATGTGGCAGCAAAAATTCAGGTGAATAAAACTAGGCTAGCAGGGCACTATTTAAAATATGTTTCTGTGAGCTGTTTCTTGATATTCCTCCACCTCTTAAAGAAGCCTTGATACCATAGCTATGATCTTTGAAGCATCTAAGTGGTCTAGAAGTCTTAAAACCCCTGATGGCCACTGGGATTTGCACATTTTTGACATATTTGTTCAGAGTCTTATTGTTCCCCTGTCAGGAGAAAAGAACAAAATTAGGCTAGTAAGGTGAAAACTATAAAAAACATCTTTTCACAAACTGGCATGCCTTCAGTGCACACAAGATCTGGGAGGACTCTGCAGCTGATGCAGTAGTGAGTGTCCCCTTGGGGAGCAGGACAGCTGAATTTTTGTACCACAAGGAGTGTTCTGATGTATAAACCTCCAAACTATTAGTGATATTGGAATAAACGTTTCCCAGATAAACACTGAACTTGGGGGAAACATTTTGCAGCCAAAAAAAAGAAACAGTTGTTCTTCTGGGAGACTCTTTTTTAAAATTAGCAAGAATTTGGTGCAGAGCAGAGCTGGAGTGCTGGAGGTGACCAGGCAGAGACACTGGTAGCAGAGGGTTGGAGACCCAGCTATTGATGTGATGGTTGTGACTCCTCTGAAGAAGCAGCTTTAGAGATCTTCATCACTGTGTTGCAACAGGACAAGGGATAACAGGTTTAAACTGAGGGAAGGTTCACTTGGATTAGATAAAAGGAAAAAATTTTTTACACTGAGGGCGATGAGGCCCTGGCACAGGTGCCCAGAGCAGCTGTGGCTGCCCCTGGATCCCTGAAAGTGTCCCAGCCCAGGCTGGGCAGGGTTTGGATCAGCCTGGGATAGTGGAAGGTGTCCCTGCCCATAGCAGGGGTAGAACAGGATGAGCTTTAAAATCTCCCTTTCAACCCAATCCATCCAGTGATTCTGTAATTCAGATGTTGTCACAGTAAATGTGTCTCTTTAGAGGCTGAGAAAATCTGTAGAAAAGGTCATAGATTGAAAGTCCTGTAGTAAGTTTTGATGCCTAACTTTGCCTTTGAAAACAATGGTGTGGAGTAGAACCAAGAAGCTGTGTTGGAACATTTTCTGTCAATGAGGTAGATCTCCAGGAAAGCCTGATACCCTCTGAAGGCTGACCTAGAACACAGACTGGACAGAGCTTAAGAGTAAAGTAGGGATTTATTGGGAGGCCTCAATAGATACACTTTGGGGAGTACAAGAGCTACACCCAAGATGAACCAAAATTGTCACAAAATTCACGACCAGTCATAGGGACTCTCACTTTTATAAGTCCTGGTCCATTTGCACATTGGAGTTAATTGTCCAATTACAGCTTTAGGCTATGAAGTCCCATCCTTCTTGTTTTTATCTCTTCAATCCACCACTGTTTGTGCTCTTGGGCCTGAGATTTGGATCATTTGTCCTTGGTCCCCAGCTGGAGCAGGAATTGTTTTGTCTCCCTACTCTGTGCAGAGAGCTCACCATCCCTTAATATGAAGCTCAGACCTAGACACTAAAGCAGCACAGAATCTGAAAAATATGAAAACTAAAACCTGAGGCATCAGCCCTGTTTAGCTTGGGTTAAGGACAGCTGTTTAAATTTCTGATTGCTTCCAACCCTCACCAGATCCTCTACGAAGTCACGGTTGTGACCGGAGACATCGAAGGCGGCGGCACCGATGCCAATATTTTCATGACTGTCTTTGGATCCAATGGGAACACTGAGGAGCTGCTGCTGGAAAAAAATGGGGACAGGTACAGTAGCTGTCAGTTTTGTGGGTTAGAAGTGGAGTGATGGCAGTTTTTAGTGTCGAGTCAAGAAGCACTCAGAGCTTTGATCACGCTGCCACTGAAACACAAACATTTACTCCCATTGACATTATAGATTCAGACCCGGGCCCCTTGTAAGTATTTCTGTCAGATTTTTACAAAGCAAAGGAAAAGAGAGCACTGTATAGCCAGGGAAAACACCCTTTGTTATTTGTGCAAGTTTGTTTAACCTGTTCCTCAGTGGCTTTAGAGATAAGCATCTTGAACAAAAGTATGAAGTCCTGCATTGTCCCCAGGAAGAACTGTGAACATCGCCCAGGATTGCACTGGGAAGTGGATGGGTGGTGGCAGAGAATGCTGTACTGAATGCCCTAATTTTACTAAAAATGACAAACCTCATGTTTTCTTCATCAGAAACAGCTAACAAACACTATAACCCTAGCCTGATGCCAGCACTTCCATAAGCCAAAAAACCCACACACGCCGCCACTCATCCACTTCCCAATGCTTTTTTGTTCCCTCCTAGCACCTTCCCTAGTACAGAAAGCTTTGGCATGCTCAAGAATGAACCATCTTTTAGTGGCATAGCATAATGCTTAAATTTAATTAATTGACTAGCTCTGATCTTATTCAGCAAGGCATCTACAGAGCATCGAAGTGTGGGAGCTTTTGGCCACACGGTTTGAGCTCAGCTCGCTGAGGGAATGCTGGATAACTGAGAGGATAAGGTGCACCTTGCACAGAGGTGTTTGCTCAGGGAATGTTTCACTTGAAGCCGTTGTAGCAGAGTGGGTGTCTGGACAAACATAGCTAAGATTGAGAGCTTCATGTGTCTAGTTAGTAACAAGCACGAGCCTTGTCTGTTGTGAAAAAAATGCAGCAAAGGTGCTGTTGACTAAAATATCTGTGAGAAACACAGCTGAGTCATGCAGAAAACCACAGCTCTTGGGGCTTGCTGCTCCCCATCACAGAGGAACATCCAACATGTGGGGCAATGCCCCTGGCTTACCAGCAAGTGTGGCCTTCAGTGGCACCCCTCTTACCAGACCCTGAGCAAGCCCAAACTGGCCTGTCTTCCACTCATTTAATCCTAACACTCAGTCCTGGTAGGCAGGAAAATGGACCACTGATGTTTGGAGTCAGAAATGAAGCAGATTTCACATCTGGGTGTGTCAACCAAAAAATCTCTAAAGGGGATCAAGGCATCTCCAGCCCCTCAGGAGCATGGCTGTAGGTTTGCTGCATCTGGGGCAAGCCATACCCCTAAACTTTGTGGCCTCTAAAAACACATCCCATTTGCCTACACGGGTGGGATGGGCAATCTCTGATATAAGAGTATGAAAATGCAATGCAGGAGAATAGAAAAGTCTCTGTGTTTTTAGTTGCTTGGGTTATCATCTGACAGTAGAGGAGCTGTGAAAGGTGTTGAAAAGTCACTGGGGCTGTGTAAAGAAAAGGAAGTGTAAGGCACAACTCTTATTATGTTAATATCCCCAGGATGCTGTGCTATTCTGCTGGCACATCTCTGCTAGCTGGAGGTGCTCTGTATCACACCTCCAGCTGTACAGAGCTCTTGTCATCTCATTAGCACCCTCTGCAGAGGACATTCATGTCCCCAAATTCACATCCTGCCTGCTTCCGCACCACTGCCACCAGTCTTCATCCAGCTGTTAACAGCACAGGCTCTCCTGGCTCTTTTCCACGTGGAAATCTCTCCAGCCCTTGCACCAGCAGAGCAGGGGATGGGTGAGAGCTGCTGCAACCCAATGGTAAAAGGCTCTTCATCTTTATTGGGGCCATCCAGTGCCAATTCACTCACAGCAGCTTAGTGTCTTACCAGGAGCTGTCTGTCTAACCTGCCACAGATTTAAGGCAATTTTCGCTACATTACACTTATTGCCAAGACCCCTGGGCAATGGAAATATTTATAAGGGCAGGCATAGCTAGGAAAGCTTAATGAAATCCTGTAGATAAATGGTTCAGTGTCCTGAAAAGGGAATAGCAGCAGTCAGTTTGTCTGGCTACTTCTTCCCTTCTCAATTTTTTTTTCAGGTTTATGTTCATCTTCATATAAATTAGGGATAGCAAAGAGCTTCTGGGTCACCCATTTTGTCACTTTGGCAATTGCTTCCTTCTAGTACTTCCCTCTTGGAAGAAGCAGATGAGTATCAGTGTTACAAACTTCAAACAAGGCATTTGCTGAAGATAAAGAATGTTTTATTTTGCTAGCAGACATTTTAGCTTAGAGCTGCTCACCCTGGAAAGCCTCAGAGTGAGAGATTTCTATGAAGCTTTGTAGATAATAGTGATTGTAATAAAAACTGTCCTGATCATAGGATCACAGGACAATTCAGACTGGAAGGGTCACACCTTTTTGTTAAATAGATGTGGAAATCAATCCAGTCCAGGGACAAAAGTACATTCTATTTCTCACAGTGAGACAGGCTGCCTCAGTATCCGGTACCACAGAAAGACAAATAAGAAGAAAAAGGAGTTTTTCAAAGAGCAAACATAACCCTTAATAACTAGAAATGGACTGGGACCAAAATGCCCTGTCCAAATGCCTCTGGGAGTGCAGAGGAAGCAATGCCTGGATGAAAACTGAGAGGCTCGAGCCAACCCCTATTGCTAACATCTGCAGCTATGCATGCTCAGATAATGGTGTGAGTATAATCACATTCATCCTGCAGGGGGTAATCTGAACAGAGGTTGGTAAAGAAAATTGGGTTTTTTTCTCCACATTCTGGCACTGCACTGGGAGGCTGTGTGCATTGCCAGGAATGAGATATCATCATTATGGATTGTTTCTGTTATGGCAGTGCCCACAGTTTGCAGGGCTCTTCCCAAACCCCTCAGCACACTCAGGAAATCCCCCCACAAGGAGAAGTTTGCATGAAGGAGAAACCTCAACAGCAGAGTGGTCACCACGTGCTTGGTAGACCTCCTGGATCTGGCTGCCATTCTCCTTAGAAAGGATTTGATTTCCAACTCCAAGACCATAGCAGGTCCCCAGGTATTTGAGGGAGCAAACAGAAAGATACACTTGTTTAGAACAGAGTAATATTGAGCCTGAGGCAGCACATCCACTGAAGCAAAGCTTTCCATCAACACCAGTGATGCCAGGAGGGAGGGAAGGTGCAGTCCTAGCCAATGTAATCTTCTTTGGGAAGCACATGTTAGCTGTTTTTTCCCTTCTCCTGCTTCCTGCTGATTGCTATGGATGAGCAGCTCCTGCACATCCCTGTGCCTGTACACAGCAGGCACGCACTGGAGAAGGTCTTTCACGCAAGCTTACACAAACCCACCCTGGTTCTTACCAGAGGCAGAGACAGTTTGCAAATCCAAATCCCCCAATTCCATCAGGTTGGCTTTGTCTCCACTCTAACACAATTTGCCTGTGCTTACTAAACTTGGGCATCGGGCTCCAATCCCAGTACCACATTCAGCTGAGCTGCAGCAACTGCCTCTCTCCACAAAACACAAAGTTTTGTGCTGAGCCTCAGGGGGAAGGGGATGAGGCAAAATTATTTTGCCTTCTAGCTGGAACTGGCCAAGGACAGGCAAGTGGGCAGCTGCCAGGAGGGAGGCGATGTTCAGAAGCCTGACTGTGAGCCGCTATTGTTCCTGCCACAAACAGAACAGTAATGTATGCTACAGGCTGCCTGGAGCAGCTCCAGGTGGGCTGTGTTTTCCAGGGAAGGAGGAATCCCTGTCAAATCTGCACCGAGGTGTCTTGCCAACAGCAGAGTAGCTGGTGAGCAGTAGCAGAGCAGCGCAGGAAAGCTCAAGTCCGATAAAGAACACTCATAAACTTTTGATTTGAGGTTGTTGGCACGGCCAGGGCTGCAGCATGGGACAGAGATGCTGTGAGAGGCTGTAAAGCAGCAGGAAAACCTCCTTGGTCTTGCAATCCCTGCAGGTTTGAGCGGGGCCAGGAGGACAGTTTCATCATGGAGATCGCCGACATCGCGCCCCTGAGGAAGATGAGGATCCGGACGGACGGGAAGGGGACGCGCCCGCACTGGTTCATGGAAAGGGTAACGCTCTTGGCATCATGGGTCTCTCACAGCCTGCCTGTCCTGGAGTCTCTCAGCCCCTGGCAAAGAGGAGAAAGGCACTGAGGGACTCATTTTCATTAATTTTCTACTTTTTTTTTCTGTTTGGTGTCTCACAGTTTTTCTGCCGGTTTTTCCCGGCAGGAATTGAGTCACAAAAGAAGAGAGCAGAGGGAAAAGCTGTGCTTTGGAGCTTTTTTTGTGGTGGAATCATCATGTCTGGAAGTGTTCAAAAGGCTTGTGGGTGTGGCACGTTTGTGGGCTATGGTTTTACAATGATCACTGTGGTGCTGGGTTAATGGGTGGATGTGATCATACTGGACACTTTTCCAACATAAATTATTCTATAGTTTCACCACAAATTCTGCTCACTCTCTTCTGCACGAGCCTTGGTTTGTCACCAGGACTCCTGCAATATTTTCTGGTCCCTGGATTGTGCCCTTGGCCCGTGCAGAACTCTGCCATGTGGGAATCTGAATCCTTTGGAGTGTGGATGTTTGTCTGCCAGACAGAGACACCCTGGGCTGGGTGGGACATTTCCAAATCCATCCATTCCGCTGGATCATCCCATCTTTCTTCTTTCCTTCTCCTCTAGCACATACATTTATTTCTTTTCTTGTCCATACAAATGAGGTGTCTTTTTTATCTTGCATTTTGCATGCAGCATGCAAACTGATGGTACTTTCTCCCTGATGTTCTACCTTGCACAAAAGTACAGTGCTTGCCTTTATCTTTGCTGTCAAACCATCAGCTCCTTGTAAGGATCACCTCTGTCTGGGCAGTCAGAAGTAGTTTGCTTGTTGTGGGTCCCTATAATTGTATTTCTGAGACAGAGGGGGAATGATGTGCTGATTGCAGACCATCAGATGTCATTAATGGAGAAACACATCTCTGCCATTTTCCTTACCATGCTTTTCCTGGAGTCGACATCCTGCTGGGTTTCTGTATCTTGACCTTTTCATGAGAACAGTTTAAGACCTAGTAGCTTAACCATGGTCAGAGGGAACACTGCATGATTTTTTAATTGGGTCCTTTTTTCCGTTTTTGACTAATTTACTGCAGTCTTTTTCACATAGATAATGTGTTTCTAAACACTGACCCTACATAGCCACCAGTTTTCAGTGAAGTGATGGACTTCATTGTCAGAAGAATTTCCATGCTGCAGTGCCATGTTTATTTCAATATTTTCACTTCAATATTTTCACTTTTTTTTCTCAGCAGTTGGGGAAGGAGAGGAACTGAAAGAGAAGGAATTAGGCTGGACATTAGGAATAAATTATTTACTGTGAGGGTGGCGAAATACTGGCACAGGTTGCCCAGGGAGATTGTGGCTGCCCTATCCCTAGAATTGTCCAAGGCCAGGTTGAACAGAGCTTGGAGCACCCTGGGATAGTGGAGGATGTCCCTGCCCATGGCAGAGGGTGGGGCTGGATGAGTTTTAGAGTCCCTTCCAACCCTTAACATTCCATGATTTTATGATGATGCTTCTGCAGCTCCTCAAAGGATTAGGCCTCCAGCATATATCTTTAGAACTTATGCCACAGATGCAGAGTTTTTCTCTCTGTGCCTAAGGAATAACTCAATCTGTTGTCTGATTTGATTCAGATTTCTTGGTCAAACTCCCTTTGTAATTTCTCACATGCTTTCCCCTGAGTTATATAAATCTTATACATATAAAATGAAATTAAATAAAGCTTATTCATCCAGAGACATTTCAGGTCTTGCAGTCATGAATCAGCAGCAGCACAAAGGCAAGGCATGGATGCATCTTTAGGTGTGCCTCCCCACCTTCCTGTTGCCTTGTCTGTCCAGGCGTTCCAAACCCTCATCCTGCTGGACTTTCCTACCAAAAGCAAAGATTTCCCAGGGAATTGGGCTCAGAGGACTCTCATTTGTACACATCCAGTAGACATACAACCACCTTCCAGCTCTACAGAAGCCACAGGTGGACCATGCAACAAGAACAGGTCTTGAGACAGACTTAACAGAGGGCTTGTAAAAACGAGGAAGAGCAATGTTTTACGTGGGCAGATAGTGACGGAACAAGGGGCAAGGGCTTTACACTAAAAGAGGAGAGATTTAGGTTAGGCATTAGAAAGAAACTCTTGGCTGTGGGGGTATTGAGGCCCCGGCCCAGGGTGCCCAGAGCAGCTGTGGCTGCCCCTGGATCCCTGGCAGCGCCCAAGGCCAGGCTGGATGGGGCTTGGAGCAACCTGGGACAGTGGAAGGGGTCCTGCCCGTGGCAGGGAGTTGAACTGGAAAGTCCTTAAGGTTGCTTCCAACCCAAACCATCTTTTATAATTATATGATTTTATAAGCTTATGGAAATGATGCCTATAGTTCCTATTTTTTTTTTTTAGATAAACACATCACAGAGGATTTTTTAACTCCAGTGTTACGTAGATAACGGTATTTATTGGTTTTCTTTCCCACCTTCCCTGCAAAGGTAAACACAGCATTTGCATTCCCAGGCAGAGGGTGGCTTACAGAAGCGTTCTGGAAGAGGGGAGGAAGGATTTTTGTTCTCTGATTTGTATTCCAGCCTTAAAAACTTACGTAGCCTGGTGTGACATGAAAACTGATCGGAGCCCATTTCCATTTCTGTCAAAAGTGCATATTAAGACTGCATAATGAAATACTTGTGGGGGTAGTGCTAAACTCTCAGACAGATGGTTCACAGTTAGTGCTAACTAGCACAGTGAAATGAGAAGCTAGATTAAGCCATCAACCCCGTAATTAACCATTTGTTGCTCCATTTATCTACACTATATTCTCAGTTTTCTTGTTCTATTAAACTAACAATAAATGATCTTTTTAATTCTCTTTGGTCTTTTGGTAAACTGTTGCTAGCTATAATTTATACTGCTTTTAGTTTAGCAGATATAGAAATGAATAAATACCAATTAAAATGCATGAATTATCAATGATTCTGTACACAGCCAAAAGATTCAATTTACAAGCAGGCAAGTAGTCATATTTTTTTTTCTGCCTATATAAAATGCACTAAAATTTCATTCAGAATCTCAGCAAAGTAATGAACCTGGTGCTGCAAATTCAAACTTGCTACCACAAGTAACAATATGTTTTAAATGCTAGTACCTAAACCTCTACAGGGAACAAAATTTGATTAGTTGATGTTTTGCAACAAAATGAACATTATTGATCATTACTATGCCCAAACAGGCATCGTGAATGTTCTCCAAAGCTGAGCAATGCTTCCTGATCACACCACTGCTGGAGGGACACAGAGTGGGGATTTTTTCCACTGATGTGATGCTGAATCTCATGTTCTTCCACACCAAGCTGCCATGACACTGCTCTGTGTTTCTGAAAAACCAGGGAACAAAATCATAGAATCACAGAATGGTTTGGGTTGGAGAGGACAATAAAGTTCATCCCATTCCACCCCCTGCCATGGGCAGGGACACCTTCCACTGCCCCAGGTTGCTCCAAGCCCCATCCAGCCTGGCCTGGAACACTCCAGGGATCCAGGGGCAGCCACAGCTGCTCTGGGCACCCTGGGCCAGGGCCTGCCCACCATCAGCATTAAAAAAATTTCAATCTAATTAGGAAACTTATCCAAATGCATACTTTGGAAAACTCTTCCTGGGATAGCTGCTTTCTCAGTCCCTGTGATGATTTCACCTGCTGCCCAGTGTCTTAGCTTTGAAGTTGAAAATCTAGAAACGAGTAAGGATGAAAGCTCAGTGAAATAGCAGGAATTATGAGACTGTTGAATTCTGCAGAGTTGCTTCCCTCAGAATTTTAATGTTACTTTGTGCTGTCAAAGCCAGACAGATAAGAAGCTGCCTTAATGAAGCACTAATTGCATTGCATTCAAACGTCACAAATAATCCTGCATGTGGGACTCGGTCTTTATTCAGTCCTTTCTCCTTTGTATAAAGGAGATTAGGAGAATTTGAGAGTTATTATTGAGAATTGAGAATTATATAGCTGAAGCTGACTTTTATTCTTTGCAAAAGAGAGAAGTCTTTTTGTTTTACAGTCAGAAGTTCCTAGGTTTAAGTGAAGAATAATGACATGCAACAGAAGCATGAAATCCTGTGTTTGAGCCTTTGAAGGTGAATTCCAGGAGCTGTGTATTTTGGTGTCAGCAGAGTGGGAGACTCTGTGGAGCATGTTTTACATGGCATCTGGAAAAAGGCTGGGTAGGAGTAAATCAAATAATCGGACATGTCAAACCTTTCCATTGCCAGAGACAGTGGGCAATTAATTTCAAATTGTTGGTTTAATGTTCCTGTCAACTACTGTATTTGCTCAGCTACAAAGCAAATTATCAATGTGTTATTCATACACGCTTCTGCCACTTTCTTTCCATGGCTTATTGGTGTTCTACAGCCCAGTTAAGCTCCTTGCATAATGAGCAAGGAAGTTTGAGCTGAAAAGCACACTGGATGCCCACAGCACGTTCTAGGTATCCTAAAAAATAGCTTGGGTGCAGTGCAAAGTAGTGGTCTCATTGCCAAGCAGGAGCTAGTTTTACTGAGAGGAACAGGCAGAAATCAAATATAGTCTCAGCTCAGCTCACTGAGATGACTTGCTTGACCCTCATGATTGAAACCAAAATCCTGCATCATCCTCTGTGTGTGGAACACCCACAAACATCTCCCTGCAGGACGGGATTCATTTTCTGCTATTTTAGTCACTGAAAAAGGCTACATTCAGCTTTCATCCCTTCCAACAAACTGCTCAGGGCCCCTGTGTAGTCACGAGACAGGCAGACCTGAGAGAGGGGGCAATGCCTCAAGAATTCCTTACCTGCCCCCAGTTTAGGTGGGATCTGGGGCTTCCCTGGGGATACCCAGGTCCTACCACACGATGTGCTTGGGCTGGATCACCAACATTTAGTGGGTCCATGCTGGGTAAGTGAGAGGCAATGTACCCACATTGTGACACAGAGGTCAGCCTGCCCCTGCTGCTGCTTCTGTGTCCCTTGCTGTGACCAGAGAATCAGAGTTTGGGTTGGAAACTACATTTAAAAATCCTCTCATTCCACCCCCTGCCATGGCAGGGACACCTTCCACTGTCCCAGGCTGCTCCAAGCCCCATCCAGCCTGGCCTGGGACACTGCCAGGGATCCAGGGGCAGCCACAGCTGCTCTGGGCACCCTGGGCCAGGGCCTGCCCACCCTCCCAGCCAGCAATTCCTAATTGCCAAGAGCCCAAAATCTGTGCCTGCCCTCTGGCACTGGGAGCCATTGCCTGGCTGCTGTCCCTGCAGGCCTTGTCCCCAGTCCCTGGGCAGCTCTGCTGGAGGCCCTGGAGGCCCTGGCAGGGGCTCTGAGGTGTCCCTGGAGCCTTCTCTTGTGCAGCTGAGCAGCCCCAGCTGTGCCAGGCTGGCTCCAGAGCAGAGGGGCTCCAGCCCTGGCAGCAGCTCCGTGGCCTCCTCTGCACTGGCTGCAGCAGCTCCAGCTCCTTGTGCTGCTGGAGCCAGGGCTGGGGCAGCTCTGCAGGTGGGCTCTCACCTGAGCCCAGGGGCACAGGGGCAGGATCCCCTCCTCTGCTTGGGGACCAGCTCAGGACAGAGTTGGATTTCTGGGCTGACATCCCTTGGGCAAAAAGCACTTATAAAATTAATTTCTTTCCCCTGTCTGCTCCTCCCATATCAGCAGCCCCAAACAGGATACCAGGGCAGGTCTGTGTTTCTGTCTTCACAGTAAGATGCACACAGATGCAATCACACATCCCGGGTGAGGGGCTGAGGATGGGAAAAGCTGGCATTTTGCTCCAGCAGCTTTAGTAGCCAGACGTTTTTTTCTCAGACAGCATCTGGAGTGCTCAGCATGGGCTGGGTGTCTGTGAGAGGCCTGACCTCTGTGTCTCTGAGTGCTCTCCAGCTGACAACTCTAATCTGCTTCTATCCCCACTGCTTCCCTGACAATTCCCTGCAAGATCTGCTCAGGACATTTTGCTATAACAGTGTCACTGTCATTCCCAAGCAGGGCAGGGGTATTGCTGGCTGAACCTCTGCCAGCATGGAGTTTATGCCCTGTGGTGGGGGGAAAATAGACCACAGATTTTCATAACTACGGAAAATAGATTTTCAGTCAATCTGACATTGCTCACAGTTCAATTTTTCAAAGAAAACTTTCTGGGTTGGACTCCTAAGAGGATGCAGGCATCATTCACACATCCTTGAGAGAGGACACTTGTGTGCCCCAGCAGAAAGGCCACCAGCTGGGCTGGGGGAGACCTGATTTCTGCTTGGTTCAAAGCAAGGGTCTGATTCAATCTCTCTTGACTCACAGAACAGTTTTTTTGACCACGAAGTAATAGTGTCACTGGCTATGAATAAGCAGCTTTTTAGAAAAGTGGGACATCTTCTACAGCCAAAAATGTCCTGTGCCCCTGGGACAGGGGGTGAAGGTGCTGTGTTACAGATCCCTCTTTAGCATCAGGCAGACTGAAAACCCCAGATGAGTGTCCTACCCACAGAACCATTCAATGCACAAACAGCATGGCTTGCTGATCATCTTCAGTGTAGCTACTGCCCTCTTTAAAACAACTTTTTTATAACCTGGAGCAGTAGTCTTCTTTTGAATTGCTGAAGACTCTAGCAAGGCTTGGTTGGGGTCAATAGAAGGCCATGGACTGGGACACCTGGAGTTTGAAGACAGAATCTGAGCACATTTTATCTCAAGATAAGTTTTACTGATGTTTTTTTCCTTAGGCTGATATATGAGACACAGTGGAAGGGCACTGAGGTGGTCACGGGGCTACAGGAAGCACGTGGCACACTAGGGAAGGCTGAGGAAAATGGAGTTTTTAAGCCATGACGAGAAAAGGCTTCCCCCCATGACAAGGGGGAATCTAGTCACAGTCTTCTGCTGCCTGAAAGGAGATTTCAGAAACCACTGATCCACACTCTCCTCAGAGGTGGACAGCAAAAAGTCATGAGGCAATGGACATGAGCTGCACTGAGGAAAACCCTGGCCAGATACAAAGAATAAAATCTTCCCAATGAGAGTGGTGCACCCTGGATGAGGACTGAGAGTGCCTGGGGAATCTGCACCCTTGGAGATTTTCACAGCTCAGCTGGACAGGGCTTTGCACAGCATTCAGCCATGCTTGGAGCAGGGGTGGAGCTGTGCACCTCCAGGCATCCTTTTTAATGTGACATCTCCCACCACTCCTGGTTCACTCCTCCCTAATGCTGTGCCACACTTCCCTGGCACTTCTGGGTTCACGTTTCCATGGCCTTTGCAGAGGCAGTGTTTTCTGATGCTCTGCTACACACAGGTACAGCCTCTGTTGCTGTTAGACGGTGACACAAATGGCAATTTACACCACGGTCCCCTGCCTTTTCTTCAGCTCCCCCAGTTCAGTCAGAGCTTACTGCTAGGTTTTTGATCCAGGCAGGTGTAATGCTTTCCTCCCACTTGACTGATGCTCCACTGAGCCCACACACAACAAGAGACATAAAGGTGGGTATTTTATTAGGCATTTGTTGGAATAACTTGTTGAGCTGCTCTGAATTCATTCCCATTCTGTTCTTATCACCACAGCATCTGAGCTGCTTCCACGACACGTTAGATAGTGTGACTAATATCTGTTGCATACTGTTTGTTCTGTCACCTTTTCCCAGAGGGAGAAGTGTGTGAAATATTAAGTTTTTGCTGGCCTAATTTTATCTTGTGCCTTGTTTTAACTTGTTTGGGCTTGCGTCTCTCTACAATGAATTCTGCTTGTTCACGCAAGGGAGACAGGCAAAAGAAAGATGCTGAGTGTTTCAAGGAGAGGTAGTGAAGTTTTTAATAACTCTGTTCCTTCTTTGGAGTGAATTCCATGCTGGCTCACAGGAGAGGTCTGACCTCTTAGAGATGGGCTTTGTCCATTTGGTCAGAGGTCCAAATTTCTCCCTTTGCTTTGCCACATGGTTGAAAAAGCATTACAATACTGTGAAGGTCATTTCTCAGGACAAACCAACACAGCAAATGTCATCCATAGGAGAGAGCTCCATTTATCCCAGAAGTGTGGGCTTTGGAGCTATGGCCAAGCTCTTCCCATGTCCTACCACATCATGCACTTTATGAGTTTAACATTTGCCCTCATTCAAATGATATGTTTTTTCCCCCCCATTTTGACTCTTCACAGATCACCCTGAAGAACCTTACTAACCAAGAAGTGGCCACATTTACCTATGGGGATTGGCTGTCCAAGCTGAAAAATGCCACAGGAAGCCTGGAGTGCGAGATGCCAGCTGTCATAAACGACGAGCAGATGATGGAGGACACCACATACACTCTTCAGGTTAAAACCAGTGACATTGGAGGTTGGTCCTTGCTGGGTATTTATTAATTTTCTACTGTGAAGTTTGTTTTTGAACAAGGAAAAAAAACTCCATCTGCTTCATTTGAAATTACATTTGAAAAAACATAGTTTAGCCGGAATACAACCATTTTGGCTGGCTGTTCACTGGGGCAGTGTCTAAGAGACTCATTCTCATCTGAGCTCTGGGAATAACATATTTAGACACAAGGCCCAGGTCTGACTGCTCTTTGAAGACACTCTAACAGAAACTATTACCAGACCAAGCTGCAGAGGTCAGCTGCCACATTTTTCTTTTTTGGTCAGGTCCATAAATGTAGGGTCAGAGCTGGTGTGCATCAGGTTTTCAGTCAGCACTGTCTGCCTGGCCTAAAGCAGGCAGCAATAATTCACCCACCTTTCCAAAGTGTTTTGAGACCATTTATCTCAGGCTGTGAAAAAAAAAACATTCCTAAATGCACACCAGATAGAAGAGATGGAACAGAATATACAGAAAGAGCTTCCAGAGCCAAGAAATGGGGTTTCAATGTAATTTCCTGGGATCACTGCCTCTTTTCATGGGAAATTTTGTCAGGCTGCTGGATGAAATCTGCTGCCACATACAAACTGAGTAGTGCCAAGATGGGGCAAGCCAGACATTGTCTTGTTTCAAAGGTGTCTTCCTCAAGTGAGATTCTGTCACACCAGTGCACATAACCAGCTGCTGACCTCTAAAGGTCTTTTCTTTATCCCTTTGTTGCTTCTTTTTTTTTATTTTTTTCCTTCCCCCTGGTTTTATCAGCAGTAATTTATGCAGCTTCTAAAGTTTGATCCAAGAATATCAAAATTTCTCTGGCAGAGCATCTTCCTGCCACCTCACCACTTCTTATCTATCTTCTGTGCCGGTTGCTTGTCTGAAAAACGTGTAGTGAAATACAAAAAACAAAAGAGAGAGAGAGAGAGAGAAAGGAAGATTTGTTTATGTATCTGGGCATCCATCTAATATAATGGTACATCTTTCTGTGACCTTTTTTGTGAAAACCAGCCCTCACTCACAAAGGTGATGGAAATAGAAGTGAGGAGAGAACAGAAAATGACAGCAGCAGCAGACAGATCTGCCCTTCCCATTGAATGAAGGATGACAGGTATTAATGAAGAAACATTTTATTTCATTATGAACAGCGACAACCAGTAGGAAAGAGCAGATTACAGAGAGGTTTGAGAGAGTCTGTTTGTGATTAGATCACACAGCTCACTGACACAATGCTGAACTTCATCCAGCTTATCTAAAGCAGGTGCAAGTCATGAACCATCTCCCCCTTTTGATCATTATGTATTCCACAATTACTCCTGGTTGGACCAATTCAGGAAGAAAGACATTTTATCCTTGGTGATGTTTAAACATGTTATATCATCTCCTGCCACGCAGGCATTGTTGAGGAGCAGCAATTCTGCACAAGGGCTGGAATCAAATGTGCTTATTTCTAGCTATAAAGTTTTTCTTTGCAGTGGATTTCAACTTTCCAGCTCATAAGTGTCACTGAAATGGGAAAAAAAAAAAAAAAAAAAACAACAGGCAAAATAATTTCACCTATTTGCCACTCTCTGAAAAGTTGTATTTCTGGTTTTAGTTCCTCCTAGTCTAGACTGTCTCTGGTCAATTCTTCTGGGAGAGAAGTCTTCATCAGTGGTCTGGGGTCTCTCTCCTGAGGGTTTCTGACTTCTGAGTTTTTCTTCATCAGATTCAGGCAGAGATTTCATTGTTAAATTAGGTTAGATGGCTAAAGTTAGGGAAAATTAATCCCACAAAGAAGATTCTGGAGCAAACTAGAAAGCATAAGCTATTTCTTCTCCACCACACAAACATGCTTAACAACAGCATTGTTTTACATTTTCCTCAAGGAAACCTTTAAGTTACATTTTGTCTTTCACAAAGTCACTCTGCTCCAGTGAAAATTTAACCTACAGAGTTTGCAGCAGGGAACAGCTCTGCTCCTGAAAGGCTCAAATCACCTTTTTTCCACCACCAGCAGTACCTCAGATGACTCTCAGGCTGCAATAGATAAGAGGAGGTTGTTAGAGCACACACCTACCAAGGCAGATGGGTAATCTTTGGTTAAAACCAAGGTCTTGATCTCAGATGTAAAGCACAATCTGATTTTCTTCAAGGCAGGACCCACAGACATAGATGCAATAGGGGCAGACCACCTGATGGCTCTTTCTGAGGCACAAAAATGTCCTTTGGCTGGTTAATTTTTACTTTCTCTATGCAGGCATTGTATATATGCTAATGCAATAAAGATGGAGAGTGAATAAATACTGCTTTCTCATTTTCCAAGCATTAATGCAACAGAAGGTTCTTATCTCTGCTGTTATAAGATTAATTAGGATGTTGTCAACTCAGTTCCAACCTACAAATTAAATAATTTAGGACAGTTGGTGTCAGCTGATAGTGCCTTATATAAGTTTTTTTCATGTAAAAAGAAAGACATTCTTTGGCCACAGAAGGCTGTGACTCAAGCCGAGAGTTTGCTTAAAAATGAAGCATCTGCTCATATAATCATAAGGAATCGTATAATCATAGAGATTTCTGTTTAGAGGGTCCTCTAGAGGTTATTTCACCCATTTTCCTGCTCAAAGGAGTGTTGCCAGCTAAGACTGCCCAGCCAAACACTGGACAACTCCAGGAACAGTGATGATGCCACCACCTCCTGATGCATCTGCACCCAGACCTGCACCATATTCCTAAGAAACTTGTTTCTCCCTCATTCCCAGCCTGAGCCTCCCCAGCAACCTCTGTGGCTTTGGTTTTTTGGGGAATGATGTGACGCAGTGCATGGCCCTGGCATCATGACCCCTGTGCCTGCAATGGGGCCCTTGTGCTCTGCCCCAGCTCCCCTCAGGGCTTCTCCTCTCATCGGTGTGTCCCAGCTCTTGTTCCTCTTAGTATCCACCCTCCAAGCTCTTCTCAGTGTCTTGACACAACCCAGGAATTCAAACTCGGGGCTTTGAATTGCACTGAGCTCTGGAAACCTCCTGCTAGCTCGGATCCAATCAGAACATGAAGGGTACTGCTGCAAACTTTGGGACATCTTCAGCTTCCCAGCATGTGCAAGGTTCATTCCAACCCACACAGAGGAGTTTGCATTTCTCCTTGCTGGATTCCATGGGATTTCTTCTTTCCCAGCCCTCAAGTTTCTCAAGGTCCATCTGGGCTGGAATTCTGGCCTTCAGCATGTCACTCACTCACACAAATCCACCCTTGGCTGGAAACCCACTGAGGAAACACTCTACCACTGTTTAGGGTGTTGATGATGATGTCCAGCTCAGTTCTGCTGACCCCAGAATCAATCCATGAGCTATTTCACTCATCACCAGTTAGGGCTGGTGCAACCACAGTACCTCCATCTCTTCATTTGTCAGGTTTTTTACAGTTCCTAAATGTGCCTGGCAGTTTCCTGGAACTGGCAGCAACAACAACAACAACAAAATATCAGTGACCCAAATAAGTGAAATGTACATTGATTTAACGTTTCTGTTTTTTACTTTCCCATCTCCTGCTAATTGCTTGTGAGGGAAATGTCACAGCATGAGACCTTCATAAGCTTCTTCCTGCAGGGACGGTTTTGCTAGGAAACAGTTGGTTCTGTGCCTTTTGAGACCTGGCATTAATTAGGAGCCTGCTCCTTGCAAGGAAAGGGACTTCAGTTTGCTTTGTTCCTCACCTCAGCAAGCTTTGGGGTCATAAAAAGTACTGCCAGATGAACTGCCTGGATCCCTGATGCTTTCTCCTCCTACTTAAACCCTTCCCAGGGAACTGTTGAAAATTAGCCCCAATTTAACATGGGCAGCTTCTCACATGGACACATGCTGCTTTGCCTTTCCTCTATAGGACTCTTTTCCTCCTCTTTTTCTTCTAGCAATTTTTTTTCCCCAGTCCTTCCATAAGAACAGTCGTGATTTCTTCCTAACTTCTGTATTCAATAATCATGTGGAAGTGGGACCTTTCTCCAGAAGTTTACAATCCCCCTAACTCTGTCTCTGCATTGTGTTTGAATGGACCTGTGGGAAACACTGCCTATGTGGCTCAAAGTGGATTTGTGATACTCTTGTGCAAGAAAGGGCCTGGCAGGAGGTTAGACTTTCAAAGCTGGGCTATCCAAACGAGGGCAGCAGATGCTGAGTTTCTTTGTAAGGCAGATTTGAGATTGATGATCTGGTTTTCCACAATGGTTTTGACACAGCAATGGCTGTCTGCCCATGTGTAATCCTATTTCTCTCCGTGAATCTGCTTTTATATTACAGTGTCAAAATTAAAATGCAATCGTTTTGGTGGAACTATAAATAGTGCCAGGTGAAAATGTAACACTTGCAGCTAAAATGTAAGGTCACTGCAGGTGGTTTGGTCTGGAACTTCCCAAAGTCAGGAAAACAGCATGGCTGTTTTCTTTGGCAAAATACAGACAGCAGAGGACAAATGACGCTCAATATCAAGTAATAAAGATCATCTTGGAAATTTTTTAATTTCCTAGCATATACACAACAAGAAGGTGGAAGGTGGTAGGGCAAACTGTTTCATGAGAAACTGGGACTTTTTCCATTGATTGCTGCATGGTCAATACTTTGAGAAAGAGCAATATAGAAGGAAGATCTGTTGGGTGTTGAGAGAAGTGGGCCATGAGATGCCACAGTGGCTTGGTTGATGATCTGTACATAGCTCTGAAATCCCTGTACCATCAAACACAGCAAGAGCAGGAGGAGACAGACCCCAGCTGAAGGATCCTGAGTACCACAATTGCTTGGAGAAGGTTGTGGGACTGCAGGAGGGAATGACTGAATGCTGAAAAGGAATACTGCTTCTGTGGGAAGCCCAGGACACCACTTTGTGGCTACAAAAGTTATAAAGTATGTTCTTTAACACTCCTCAGTAGATTGGTGGATTCTGCTGGATAAGTCACTTTACTTCCCCAGCTACTTTGGAATAATGTGAGTTACTACTCTGACATCCCCTGCAGAGTGCTGTGACAGGCACTCCTCCATCAGGAACAGAAATTTCTGCTTCCCACTGCACTGCCACCACCACAGTCACAGCACCTCAAGAGCCAGGGCAAAGCATCCAGCTGTATTTGTGGGATGGACTGGAAGAGCTGATTGTCCTCCCTGCAGGATCCTGCACAAATCCACTGAAATGTCTTGGCGGTGCCCAGAGAAACATGAGCACCCCTGCAGCCTCTTCCAGCCTGCCTTTGCTGCCTCTCCATGCAGCTGGGGGCTGGGAGTCAGCCCAGGGTGGCGGGGAAACCCATGGCATTTTTCTCTGCTCTCTCCTTCCAGGAGCAGGCACCGACGCCAACGTGTCCTTGATCCTCTTTGGGGAGTATGGGGACAGTGGCACCCTGCCTCTGAAGGAGTCCAACAAGTCCAACAAGTTCGAGAGGAACCAGATGGATGAATTCAGCTTCTCTGAAATGCTGAGCCTGGGAGACCTCTGCAAAGTGAGGATCTGGCATGACAACAAAGGTCAGGGCAGCGATGGGGCGGTGGGAGAGCTTGGGATGTTGTCACTTGAGGGAACACACAGACACAGGGCAGGCTGAAGGCAGAGTCCCCAGCTCTGCTTCAGGCTGGGAAAATTACCTGGGTAATTTTACCCAGATATTGATTTTTAATTTTAATTTTTACCAGGATTTTACCCAGATCCAGGGAGTTGGTGTCCCAGCTCCCCTGTCTGGACACACCCCTTCAGGGTGCCCCTCTCCCTGGCTGCTGCTGCAGCAGGTCCCCAGCTTCACTCTGAGCTTACAGACACTTCTGCAGCACTGGGGATGCCTCCCCCAGAGCACAGCCACCCAGCCTGCTGTCCCAGCACACTGAGTCCACCCTCACCTCTCACACAAGGCCAGCATGGTGCTCCCAGAGCACTCTAATGTTCTCAGCCTGACACTGACATGCGGGGAAATGCAGCCTGGCATAACACAGCGAGCCTCAGAAGAAAGAAATGAAGATCTGTATCTGGCTTTATTAAGATCATTGCATCAGCCAGTGAGCATGCAGCGTGCTGCTCAGAGAGGTTCTGACACTTCCCTGCTGCTGGACACCCTGACTGGTGTCACAAACTGCAGAGCAGAGCTCAGCAGGACTGTCATAGTCATTTGTGTTGTCTTTCAGGCACCGAATGGCATCTTGTAACAAATGGATCACTAGCACTGCTGTGGTGACATCCCATCCCATCCCATCTTCATGCAAAAGAGATTATACTGCATTAGCAATGGCTTCCCCACTGGTGGCCAGCCCTTGCTGCAGCCCAAAGGTGAAGCTCCATAGCTCACACAGGCTCACACCTGAGCCACTCTTAACAATGCTGTTTGGCAGCAATATTTATCACAGTCTGGGGAGAAATGGCAAAGGGACCACTTGGTCATTACCTGGTTGTACTGAGGCAGCTGGTTTATGGCTGGGATGGGTTTCATGCCAGTATTGATGTGACCTGGCCACCTTCCTCTCAACTACTCCAAGTTGTGGCAGATAATGAAGGCTGCATGTCATGCTCTAGTAATAAAAGATGCTATCTCTGGATTAGACTTTCCCATTGGAAAGTCTTTGAGAGGGAGAAAAAACACATCTAATGGTAGCCTCTGTCCGCAGTGAAATATGGGAGATACATCCACCTGACATGATTGTTTACTCCCAGACACTGCAAGCTCTGAGCTCATATTTATCACTCCCATAACACAGCACAATTTAGTTGATTAAACTCCATAATATCATGTTATATAGCTGGTGCTGAATGCAGTAAGGGAGCTGCTTTCACCTGATTACTTTGCCAAAACACTAATTCCTTAGATCTGCAGTTTAGATGTAGATATGGAAAGGGCTATTGAATGAGAGTTTTAGCTTAATAAAAAGGCTTTTTGGCTGTTCCAAGACGTCCTCTGATAGCACCAAGACATCAACATGGACTTGCAGATTTGCTTTCAAACCTATTACCGTCTGAAATGTGTGCTAAAAGAACATTTTCCCAAGTGGCATCATGGCTCCCTGGTGACTGGCTGTGCTAACAGGATGAAATAAACTCACCAAGCAGAGCTGATCCTTAGGGCTCAGGCACATGGACTGACTGGGATGCAGGAAGGTGGGAGCTGGATCAGATCAAGGGTCTGAGCAGCTCTTTCCAGCAGCAGCATCCCCGGCTGCCTGAGGAAGGGGACAGGCTGAACGTGTAATCCTTTCACAATCCTCTTCATTTTGCATGATGAATAGCTCAGGGCATTTCCTGAAGTGGATATCATTCTTGTCCATTAAATAATTTCCAGTGAATTTTCTCATTCAAGGTCTTGCCCAGGCCCTCCAGGAGACACTGGCACCCACACAGCCTGGGCAGTGAGTCCCACGAGTCTGCTGCCTGCTGCGTGATGAGCAAATCCTGTTAATCCAGGAGGGTTTTGTTGCCTTTTCCTTCTTGCACAAGTGATCACAGTTCACCTTCTCAGTGCCACTGATCATGCTGCTGACACAAGTTGGTAATTGCTGGCTGTGTGCAGCTGCTTGGTGGCAAAGGGTGGTAACAGAGTTTAGCCTTAGGCTAAGCAGTAAATAGGCTCAATTAGTTTAAATTTGCTCTGGGCTAAGAACTTGTACCCAGATAACCACCACAAGTCAGCTAAAATACTAAGCTGGGTGTCTAGAACCTAAAATATGTATATAAATACACATGGCAGCCTCATATTCTCTTTCCTTATTTCCTCATAACACTGGTTTCCACTTATAAATACTAGTCCTTACCAGACCTGTCTGACAGCAAGGTTAATTTAAGCCTTGGATAAACACCATGCTCAGGTTTTGTTCAGCAAAAATGTTCTTGCTTTTCCCCACAGAAAGAAGGAAAACTGTTGTTTAAATCATAACATATGTTGTCTACATTGTTCTTGCATTAGTCATGTGAAAAGCATCTCCTATCTAAAACTTCACACAATTCAGCATGACAGTTTGTTGGGTGGGTAGAGTATTTATTACTGCTGAGATCCAGGATACAGCTATCCTTTGAATATATGCCTGCTCCCTATATATAATTTATATAAATTGGCTGTGGCACTGCCTAGAAATTCCTGGCTCTATTTCTTTTAAATGAGTAGTAGGGTCAGGGGTCAAGTATGTTTTTTGTCAGATGTGTGAGAGACTTTGGGTATTAAATAAAAATGTGTTTGTATTTACCGCTACTCTGAGGCTTCAGATGTTGATCATTCTTTCTTTACCTCTTTTCTGGCTTTTTTGGACTAAACGGCTCTCTACCAATGGCCTGTGGAAGGCTTGGCCTCACACTGGCCCACCCCATTGCTTCTTGCATCCTGAATATGTGGAGCATGCTTGGTGCTCTTTTCCTGATCTTCAGAATTATCAGTCTCAATCACAGAATCACAGAATCACAGAATCACAGAATGGTTTGGGATGGAAGAGACCTTAAAGAACATCTCATTCCACCCCCTATGCCATGGGCAGGGATACCTTCCACTGTCCCAGATTTCTCAAAGCCTCATCCAGCCTGGCCTTGAATATTCCCAGGGATCCAGGGACAGCCACAGCTGCTCTGGGCACCCTGGGCCAGGGCCTGCCCACCCTCCCAGCCAGCAATTCCTAATTGCCAAGAGCCCAAAATCTGTGCCTGCCCTCTGGCAGTGGGAGCCATTGCCTGGGTGCTGTCCCTGCAGGCCTTGTCCCCAGTCCCTGGGCAGCTCTGCTGGAGCCCCTGGAGGCCCTGGCAGGGGCTCTGAGGTGTCCCTGGAGCCTTCTCTTGTGCAGCTGAGCAGCCCCAGCTGTGCCAGGCTGGCTCCAGAGCAGAGGGGCTCCAGCCCTGGCAGCAGCTCCGTGGCCTCCTCTGCACTGGCTGCAGCAGCTCCAGCTCCTTAAATGTGCTGATATTTGGGGTCAATGACAACACCACATGAGGAGCCCCATCAAGGTTAGTTAGGGGAAATGCTAACCATCAAAAGTCTTCCTTTTCCTTGCCATATCAAGATGCCAACTGCCCGCCTGTATTTCAGGATAAAATACATTTAAATGCCTTGCCCATTGTGTTCACTGTGCCATGCACCACAGCTCAGCTTCTCCCTTGGTGCAGCCTTGCTGCAGTGGCTTTGCTCCCAGTTCTCATCTTTTGTTTATCCTTTCACTGAAATTTGACTGCAGTGGGGTGTTCAGAGTTGAAGAGACAGTAATTGCCATGGCAAGCCTATCAGGAGGTCTTTAAATTGCAAACACCATGTTTTCATCCTCTGGAAAAGCACGCCTGTTTTATGGTCCCACTTTAATGCTTTTAAATGCCATTTTCCCCACAAAAACTGCTGAGTGACATCTCTGTATGAGACATAAAGGAGGAATGAAGCCCCCATCTAATTTCTCTAACTTCAGTAAAAATGATTAGGGAGGAAGTTGTTGCTCATTTGAAAACAGGCAGTTTAAAGACTTCACAACTGCAATTTCAAGGAACTTGTTCCTGATTTTTTTTAGATGTTTAGAGCTCACCAGTGAGATTCTGGTAACAACAAAGTGATATGAATGAAATTTTGTTTTAATTTTGCTCCATGTCTTTTTATCTTGCCCCTGTTTACCTTGAGATACTGATGTTCAATCTAATATATTTAGACTCCCTGAGCAAATTTAATCACTTCCAGACTCCCCATCTCCTGATCTCAGATAGGCACTATGTATTTTCTCATATCTCAGTTCATTTACTTCTACATTTATGCAAGATCGGTATCTGTAGGTCTGTAGAAATGCTGGCTTTCTAAATGTAGGCCTCAAATTTTTTTAATTTTTTTTTTTTAGTCTGCTATATGGACTAAATCACCACTCTGGAAGAATGACTGAAAGTTTCTCAGTATCTCAGTAACAGAACTATTTACCTAGAAAAAGGCTGGTTTCCCTCCTTTTTTATGTGTTTTTGTGTGTGTGTGTGTGTGTGTTTGTGTGTGTTTGTTTGTTTGGTTGGTTGGTTTTTTTGTTTGTTTTTGGCTGTTTTGGATGCCTTTTTCTCCATGGAACAAGGAAGTATGGGAAATCTGGACTTAGCTCCCTCATCTGCCTGAGTAGATTTGAACCCAGGTGATAAGCAGTCTGTCTAAAGTAATTAATTTCAGATTCTTGATTATCTCTGTTGCCATCAACCAAGGAGAGCCAGGAAGAGTCTAATTATGGATAAACCAGACTTTTCTGTGTTGTGGGAGCAAAGACAACAATAAATACCAAGGTTATGGAGCCAAACTTCTTCTTTGCCTTAACAGGGCCTTTCTCTCAATTCACCAACTGCTCTGACATTGTCCAGCAGTTTTAAATAGCCCAGCTGCCCCAGTGACTCCTTTTGGGTGGCTCTTCCAAAAGACAAAGTATCTTATTCCCTTTTTGAGTTGGACTCAAGTCAAAACAGTTTATATACCCTTGGTTTTCCTTTCCTTTCTTTGAAGGAATTACCTTTTCCAGGAGCAGTGTCTTGACTCAGATGTTAAATTGCCCAGGCCTTGAACTCA